ACTGAATACTTGAGTTAGAAGGCTAGGCCTACGTACGAAGCCCTGGCAAGAAGCCAACTTGGAAATTTACTGCAGATACAGGTAAGCTTACTCGTAGTAAAGGAAATGGTATTGATTGGTGGAGATATCGCGCTGAAATATTAATACTAAGCTTCTGCCTTTTGCTCAAGAGTGTAAGAAAGAGAGGCTATATACTCTCGTTCAAGAAGATAAAGCTCCTTCTCATGCGCATCACTCACAACAGAAGGTCTTTAATATATTTGAGGTAGCTAGGCTACTCTGGTGCGGTAATTCACCTGATCTTAATGCAATAGAGTGCTGCTGGCCATATATGAAGAGGCTTACTACGAAAAAGGGAGCTCCAAGGAGTAAGGTTGAAGCTATCAGAGCCTGGACGAAAGCTTGGGACGAGCTACCTCAGTGGAAGATTCAAGAGTGGATTGAAAGAATACCAATTCATATTCAAAATATCATTAGATTAGAAGGTGGCAATGAATATAAAGAGGGTAGGAGAACAGGAAAGGGCACTGAGAGGGAGGCTACAGCTGTAAAGGCTATCAAAATTAATGTAGATAATGAGTGGGAGGATATCAGTGAATAAGCTGTCAAAACAGCAAATGCCAAGACCTGCGGTGCGTCAGTGCGCTGCCTACCCCTGTCGCGAAGACTTTTGACGCGCTCCTCCGTATCTAAAATACAATTACTCTCTTACAGCGTTCTAATCAGTACCGTCACCCAACCTCAGGGAACTCATGTTTCTCGACCGAATTTTCATAATATGATCCACCGCCTCAATCAAATACGGTACAAACTTTGCCGGGTTTTCCGTCGCGGGGAAATGGCCCAAGTCAGGCATGGACTTGTGCACTGCGCCTGGAATCTTGTCCGCTGTCTTTTGCGACATTTCGGGCGTGTTTGACCAGTCGTACTCGCCCGTCAGCATGTACACGGGGCAGCTCGCCGTGTCAATGGATGCAACGCGGGATCGGCCGTCCCAGCCACCAAAGTAGAAGTCGAGGTCGCCGTGGAAGATCTGGACAGAGATTAGCTGAGTGTCAGATACCCAGGAAGCACACTTATAAATTTCATACCCCGTAAGCTTGAGCGCTATATGTATGCCATATCAGTTGTTTGTTCGCCTTGGGCGTAGTGGGAGCCATCATCTAACAACACATCAGCTCGCATCTTTTCCCCTGCTCATACATGCTCGCTACGCACGCCATAAACCCACTCTGGGTTGAACAATGACTGGTTGACGTATGGAGAGCGATCGTTCCATTGACGCTCCATGTTGAGATATTCTGAACTGCGGCTATTATCAGCTCGGGAAGCCTACGACATTGTTGATCTTTTGCCTACCCTTGCAGAGGAATAGTACCAATTGCACCGACTTCTCTGTGACGAATAGCAACTGCAAGGCAGACCTGACCAGCCATACTCGCACCACAAATAATCGGTCTGCGCAGACCCAACTTCTTCACAAAAGCAGTAATGATACCCACATAGCTGTCTTCGGTATTTGTATGTGCTGAGGCATTCTTGGTAGGGAAGCTGCGTCCATGGCCGGGCAAGTCAAACGCAAACATGGTGCACTTTTTACGCATCCGTATGTCGTTCATGACACCATGGTACTGTCGACTGTCGCTACCGGCGGTATGCAAGAAAATAATGTTTTGCTTGCCTTCGCCTGAGTATTCGTAAAAGACCTTGCTTTATCGCCAAATTGCAACGTCAGTATGCCTTGTATATATCGAGTTGCAAAGGAAGCCTGCGTACCACCGGCCCCAAACCGGAGCTTCCAGATATGTGTACTTTCCGGTAAGAAAGTCGTTGTCGATTTCAGCCTGCTCCTCCTCGGCAAGTGGACCGCAGTGGGCTTCGTGAATGAGTTCAAGGGCGCGTCTCCAGACATGAGTCCATTGTGCATAGGCCGTCTGGTCACCCAATACCTCGATACCTTTTTGCTTGATGTTCATGCCAAACATGCCCCAGTAGCTCTGGTAGGGCATGGCTGGGACTGGTTTGAAGTGCTGCTCCCATTGCTCAGGAAGTGCTGAAAGTGTGAATAGGGCATCCTTGGAAGAGCCATTGCTGGCTTTTACGTTGCCGTTGGTAACAGTGACGAGGAGCGTATTGTCGGAGGCACTTGACTTGATGCCAAACGTCACTGGTTTGTCAATCGCATCTGAAGTGACAAAAGCTTTCAGTTGGTCGTCAGATTGAAGGAGCTTGGGTAGCGCGTCTGAAGTTCCCTTCAAAGCTGTAGTCAGGTCAGACCAGTCAGCCATGGTGGTTCACGAGATACAATGAAGTCGCTGTAAATTCCCAGGACAAACAGAGCAGAAAAGGAGGACAGATAGGGTACAAAGTGACAGCGCCCAGTGGGTATATAACAACGCGTGAATTCCATCATTATCCGCGCCGAGCTAGCTAGGTACAGAGCTATAGGGAGGGGTAGCCTGCAATGCGGGGTCAGTGGTGCACACGTGGGTGTATATCTCGACTTCGCTCGTCATCGTCGCTGGCTCTGACCGGAATCGGACGACTGACTGGTGCCGCGTGTTTTGATGGGGAGGCGGATAATGCTGGATCCTCTAGCGCAACCGGGGCGAGGTCAAAAGAGGTGGATAGCACTGACACGGCGGTGCTAAGCTCTACTCATCTCGGCGGATCTCATCCCCGCCTCAATAATATAACGCCTATTGCCCGCCTTGTTCCAACTTACCAGAATAAACGCAGCACCAAGCATTGAAACAGTACACTAAGTAGAGAAACGTGAAAAGAAGTGAGTATTATGAGACACCTGTTACGGGTGTGCGAGGCGCCGACTATACATGGTAAAAAAAAAGAGATGGCGCTTGTTGTTGCGTCTGGTGAATTGCAAGGAATAAGTGATTCGCATGTGCTACCGTCGATCGCCCACTCCACATGCACCGATATCTCATGCGACTCATAAACTCATTTGGAAAAGTAGGAAGTAAACCCCCCAGAAAGTGGTATCCTCGCTCGCGCTTCCAAATGCAAACATGACTTTCCCATATCAGAGCGTGTTCTTCTCTAGAGACACGGAAGACTCGGCATACAGAGGAGATGACATGGATTCTAAAGAGTCGGTAGGCGTGAACAATCCAACAGATGCCGTGGATCCTGCAGATGCATAAGATGAAGCAGACGATGGAGATCCCGTAAACATGGCGACTCTCAGCACTCCGCCACGTTGTCGAGATCCAGTCGCGTCTGCAGAATCAGCACCTTTGGCGGGTCTATTGACTTTGGCAGCTCCAGTAGCTCCAGTGGAGCCGCACCCCCCAGACGCCTCCAACAACGCTTCAGCATCCAATATGACCCGTTTGAGTTCCTTCCGCATCTTGTCCGGGGCATCAGGAGGACCACCGCCCAGCTAGAACGTCTCCTCCTCGACACCCTCAGCCTCGGGTGGAATCTCAAAGCCCTCCTCGGTTGAGTAGAGGATCGTCTGGATTTGCTTAAGTAGACCCTCATCCTTCTCGAGCTCGGGGTCGGCCTCCATTGCTTGTTGGATCAAGAGCTCAATATCGCGAAGCTTGCTGAAGTAGAAGTCGCGCTCGCGCTCAAGGCCGGTGACGGTCTCCTTGAGTGCAGTATTCTCCTCGCGCAGCGCAGCAGAGGCAGCCCCTCCTCCAGAGGCGAGAGGAGTACGTGTTCGGGGAGCGGCAGTGTTACTAGCAGCTGGTGCTCTTCGGGCGGCGGTGGCAGCGCGGGATGCGGGGGCGGCACCAGTGGAAACACCGCCTTGGCCCTTGCGGCGAGCAACGGGGTCGTAGTCGTGACCAGGGAAGTGCTGGTCCCAGTATTGTTTAACAAACTGGAGGAATTCGAGGTTGTCCTGCATCTTGCACTTGACCAGTGACTCGACACGGATGGGCTTGTCGATCTGGTGCTTGGCGAAGGTGTCTGGCTTGGTTAGCCATGGCAAAGACAGCGGGCAATCCATCGTCTATGGATGGGATGGCATGGTGCAGACATATGACATACTCTGTAATATCTTGAAGTTCTGCAGATATGCATACTCGGTGTTGGCGTTGAACTTGACTCGGCTCATGGGTACATCATCTGCACACTGTTAGGATTAACGGCACTCACGCAACAGTCAGATTGGGATCCCTACAGAATATGCTGTCAAAGACCTGGCATAGTGCTGCTCTATACCAAACCATCAGTATATGCGCTTCCAAGTGACTCGTCTCGAGCCCGTGGCGGCTCGATGTATCGTGGGCGGGAGACGTACCCTGTACCGCATTGTTCGACCTTTGTGATGTTGAGCTGGAGAAGGTTGTTCAACCAGGCGACGAGTTCTTGCCTGCGCGCATGTTTCTGTTAGTTCGTGTTTGTCGTATGAGGCGACGTGCCCTCCCCCCAGGGTGACGAGTGTCTGGCAGGAGCCTGAACCCCACTTGGACAGGCGTACCTTGATTCTCCCATGGCGTATATCTAAGTATGGTTGTTGGGGACAATGTTGTTGGATGATCGACGATGGGCTAAGAGCATGCGAGGGTAAGGGGTGTGGAGGTTTGGGGATGGATAGATGGTCGCCGTCGAGGTTGCTGTTATTTGTTGATGCGCCCTCGCTCATCGGCCGCTCGACATTTTGGGCTGCTGCCCCACGACCCTTTTAGCGCCCTGTTGGTGCGTCTGGTCACGTGCCTTCCCCTTTCACCTTTATCCCTTCATGTACGCTCGCAACCACGCATTTCTCTCAAAACTCACATGCACAATACTGCTGGAATGCCTTTTCTAATGATATCTGTGACGCGGAATTGTAGTGCCATGTGTAGATAATGCCTATATTCTACATGTATGGGTGTACATGGACATTAATCGCCAGTTCCGCTTGGATCACCTCCGCCTCGTGCACAGTATACTCTGCAAATTTGCTCCTCACCGTCTCTTGGTCGCCAGCCTTGGCATCCCCTGGATAGTTTGCATCGACACCTTCCCTCAGCTTAGAGGTTACGTCGAGGTGTGTATACTGGTCTACCACCCAGAGAAGGCTCTCGTTCTGGTTGAGACCCTGTGTCTATGCAACAATTGCATAATTGAGCTCTTGAATCCTGGAGTTGTAGTTTCCAAGCTCAATAGCGATGATTGGTGCCGCCTACCGATACTTGAGCCTGGCTATCTGCATGGTCTCGGTCACGTCCACTGTCCGTACGACAGTCCTCGTCTTGGGGCTCCAAGTGCGCATAGTGTTGACTAACTTGGCCAATGCAGCGATAATGTCAGTGACTTCCTTGTTCTGCTGTACAACATCGCCAGTCTCCAAATGTATGGTGATCACTACGGCTGATATCGCCTGCAACTACCCAGCCGGCTGATTCTTATTGGCCATACCCAACGCTGAGAACCTTGAATGGATCTAGCTGTTGCTATCGTAGCCTCAGGACCTGTGGTTGTTTTCCATCCCAATACTCCCGACCAAATCTATACTCGCTCATTCATGGGGCCGAAGACACTTGCTGGGTCAGCAGATCGTTTTCGTGATGCTGTAGCCAAAGGGCATCTCAAGTTCACCGGATTATACCGCTGGCGGCTAGGGCCGGTAGGACCGTGACGACACTGTTAAAAATGAGAAACGCCAAAGGTGCCATGTCAGCAGCTCCAGACGCGCCGCGCTAAGGTGAGCCCAGAATGGGATGCTGGAGAGGTTGCCTCAGGGCTGACTGGAACAGAAAAACGGCGATTGCTTTGTAGACTGCGTCGGCGTTGCTCACGTTGTGAGAAACTCTAAATTTTGCCGGATGGATAGCATGATGTCGTCGGCTGGATATAAAAAAAACCTGTGAGGAGAACGGAGCGTTTTGGAAGGTGTCTGATGGTATTGGAAGAAAGGCGCAGTTCTTGTAAGTAGGATGCGATTGGTAGCAGTAGCGTATAGTGCCACCGAGCGCGACAGGAATGGCCGACGCGAGGTTAAGTGTTCGCGTTATTTGCCGTCATCTTGGAAGAATACCAGCGGTTGAGGAGTCGATCCGTTTTCCGTGGGGTATTTGGCACTATGGATTGTTTTTATGCAATGATTTATACCTCATCGCATTGTGCGTTCCCTGCAGCACCGCCATACGAAAGTTAATTTCGGACGAATCTCCGCCACGACTCGTGGCTAGCCCTGCAGCTGCTGTAAGCTTGTTAGTAACCAGCACATCCTAGTGTGCTTTCTTTCCAGACTTGGGCAGAAGCAAGTTGGCGAAGAAAAAGGAAATTGGAGAGAAAAGAACCAATTACGAGAGTGTCTGCAATGATGCACGTAAACATGCAAACTTAGTGTGGTAACAATCTGCCAGATAAAAAGGCAGAGCCAAATTTTTCAAGAAAGCAAGAGAGGATTAGTCCGCGGACGTGGACATAGATACTCACTTAGTCAATTACATGCATAGATATGTAGGTTTTCTAGACGAGGCAGGTGTCTAGGTCAGATGAGATGACCTATAGTTCCAAGGCCGTTGGACTAGTATGTACACAACGACTAGGATAACGGCGCCAATTTGCCAGTGATAGCAATAATTCTAGGGCTGACCGAGATAGGGCCGTGGATCAGTTCAGCTGAGGCGGTGCGACGCCCAGTTGTCGATCCCGATGAAGCTCATATAGCCGCAATAGGGCCGTTTTATAGCCAAGGTTGGTATGTACATGCGGAAACGTGAACATGTCGGTACAACCACCATTGACAAGGGAACTGTTTGCAAGGTGAGGTGGTTATAGCAGTGAGCTGGCGAAGCCGTCAGATGCGAGGTGACTTGTGCGCAAAAGCATATCCACGTGCCGAAACGTTTCCCGCATTCATGGTGGAGTCGAGTGCGGCGAGCAGCTGCAGGGTGACGCGGCTCGAGAATCAGGATGGACTTTTTACATGCAGACAGTGGCCAGGTCAGCATGTGTATAGTTGCATTTGGCTGGGTAGAGGTTGAGAGAGGGCATCGGCCAAGTGTGCCGGGATGCCGATGGTGTTGAAAAGGGGTCCGAACTTGGTGGTGCCGATTGAGGTAGCCGTTGGCAGGCACACCGGGGAAGATCCGACGCCAGATGTAACGGGGAAGGGTTGAGGACAAAAAGCAAGCTATTACTACAGCAAAAAGAGAGCTGGGGGTGCAAGTTGGCAGGTGTTGACAGTAACGGTGCGGGAGTGTGAGACAACGAGGGAGGGGAGGGAGGGAGGGAGGGAGGGAGGAAGGATTGGTGGTAGTGGTAGTACTACGGCCTTGGAACAGTTAGAGGCAGGAGGACATGGCAGCTCTTGGCACGGACCATAAACACCAAGAACAGACGGCGGCGGCAGGTAGCGTCGAGTGTAATGTATATGGTGTAGTGTACGCGCCTATATTGGGATGGCGAGACTATCGATCGTGACGACGATGATGATGGCGGTGGTGTTTTGAGGATGACGATAATGCAAGAACGCGCGGAGTTGATGAGAAGAGAGGCGCAGCATCAATGGCGGACTTCGTCGACACGGCACCAAGGCCAAGACGGCCGGTTTGGCTGTCTGGCTGGTTGGCTGGCCGTAGTCATCCATCAGTCAGCCCCCATCCACTGTGGCCGCCCAGCCAGTCCAGCCAGGCCCAACCCCAAACCATCCCACGCCTCCTCGCTTCGCGCTGCTTCGGGCGTTTTCTTCTTCCAAATGTCCAAAATACCCGTCGTCCCATTGGCCAGCCGCCGCTTGCTTACTTCTTTGGCCCTGCACGCGAGCCACCGCTGTACGGCAGGGCCAAGTCGCATGGTTCCTTTGACATGACGCGTACCGCCGACACGCTGCTTGTTGTCTTGTTTTCTCTCACCTCTACTTACACAGCCCGAGCACAAGCTCACGGGTCTCCGCAAAGCCGCCGTCCCCGGTCTGTATCCTCGAATCACAACCAGCCATGCGTACATCCCCCCGGAGCCTGCCCTATACCAAATCGCCCGAACACAGGGTGCAGAGCCTGAGAGCACATGCGTAGCGCCATTCTTTTGTCATCAATCCCTCTTGGGATCTCTTCGTGTCCCAAATAGCCAGTAATCTCATCAGTGATTATAAGCTCTTGGTTCACGCCCTCAAAGGTCACCACAAGACAAGACATCTTTTACCCACTATACACCTACTCCATCCCCTGGGACCACCTCTCTCATTGCTTCTTCACATTCAATTGCATCTTTCAAGATCATGAGAGGCTTTACAAGAGCGTCAGCCTTTGGCCTCACGGCATTGGGTTCGTACTGCACATGACCACCATCCATCTCTACAATTAGACTAACCCACCTCAGCCTCTCTCGCCTCTGCTCAAGTCGCCAACGTCTGTCCATCCACGGGAGTTTGCTTCAAGCTGAACATTCCCCAAAGCACAGCTTCTTCTGGCTCAGGAGACATCTTCTTCCAGATCCAAGCACCCAGCAGCTATGAGTGGGTTGCACTTGGCCAGGGAAACGGCATGGCCAACTCCAACATATTCGTTGTATACACATCCGCAAGTGGAAACAACGTCACTCTCTCACCCCGACACACCACCAGCTATTCACCTCCGACCCTCAACACTGATGCCCAAGTAACATTACTCGAGGGCTCTGGTGTATCAAATGGCGTCATGACTGCCAACGTAAAGTGTAAGCCGCAATACTAGAATACGCTCAAACCAAATCAAAGCATCTTCTTTGCTGACAGTAAATAAAGGCTCAAACTGCAACAGCTGGTCAGGAGGTACCATGGACTTCAAGTCCGGAAGCGGCAACTGGATCTACGCCTTCCAGAACTCTGGCGGATCCAAGAACACCGACGATACTTCAGCTCAGATCAACCAGCATTCCGACCACAGCGTCTTCAACTGGGACTTTGCTCAAGCCAAGGGCGGTTCTAGCGTCAACCCCCTCATCGCCACCACCTCAACTGGCACCACCCCCAACACTGGCAACACCAACTCCGGCATCACAACCATTAGCGCTGCCGGCGCCGTCACCAACCGCCGTGAAAAGCTCATTGCCCACGGTGTCCTCTCTTCCCTTGCGTTTGTCATCTTTTTCCCTACTGGTGGTATCGCCATTCGCCTCGTCTCCATGACCGGCATGGTCTGGCTGCACGGCGCATTCCAGATCTTTGGCTACATGACCTACATTGCCGGCGCCGGTCTCGGTATTCACCTTGCCCGCGGGCTAAACCAGACGGGAGCATATCACGCCATCATCGGTATGATTCTCCTTGCTGTTCTCTTTTTCATGCCCTTCCTCGGATACATGCACCACGTTTTCTTCAAGAAGGTCCAGAGCCGCACCATCTGGTCGCACGCTCACATCTGGGTTGGTCGTATCTTCATCACTCTTGGTATCCTCAACGGTGGCTTTGGACTCAGACTAGCCCAGTGCGCCAACTTGAGCTCCCGCGCTGGTCAAATCGTCTACGGTGTTGTTGCCGGTCTCATATGGTTGGCATGGGTCGGTGCCATTGTCATTGGTGAGAAGAAGAGGAGCAGCTCGCTTACCGAGTCTGGATCCAAGCTCGCAGACGAGAGGGCCAACTCCGATGGCACTGCTGTTGATGTCAATGGACATTATGGCCACAAGCAGCAACAGTAGAAGATGGTCGTGTAATCACTGTCGAGTACAGTATGCGTTGAGAATTTGACACGATACGGGTGTGATAATTGGCGCAAATGGTACAATTTATAGAGTGCTTAATAATATAAAATAAATCTTGACAATCTTGACAATCTTGACTTTTTTTTCAGTGTTTCTCTACACGAGTAATGCCAAGAAACCTATTAACTACTGGTACTAACTCGAAACGTTTGATCCACTTCCTCCCCAACACTTCAAATGACCAGCATCCAACAAAACTTGTTTGTACAATCATTCCTGCTGTACACACGTTTGTCGCCTAGACGAAAATGATATCACGACTTCCCCATGCACTAGATATATATCTCTACCATATGCCTGATAACATCTAGACCAAAACATCACAACATTCATACTCAATTTTGAGTTGCCAACCCCCTTTTCTACCAGCACAATACCATTACAGCCTCATCTCCGTGCCCGAATTAGTCAACCCCACGATTTCCGTACACCCAACCCCCTAACCCAATGTCCCTCGCGATCTTACTTACTCGCCCCATATTCACACACCCCGCCGGCTCCCCCCCAAACCACCAAGAACCTTGCTCGCAGCCGCACTAACCTTGAGCACATCCCTGTACGTCAAGCTAACCCTCACGCCCCTGCTACTCGTCCCTCCCATGGTCTCTAGCACCACCTTGTCACCCAGCAAATCCCAATTCGCCACGCTCGCCCCATCCAGCCCCTCGTCTGTTTCACGCTCCGCAATGCCATGCATGACATGCCGGTATGCAGAGCCCATGGTAACAAGCAGGGATCGCGGTTCCTGGAAGATGCGTGTCGGAAGAGCGGTAATGTTCGGAGTGGGAGTGGGGGGGTTCTTGGCTTCGTCATGACTTTCCTGGGCATGTTTACTGGTGTCTACATCGTCGTCGTCGCCTGTCGAGACCGAGGGCTTGGGTAGGATGTCTAGACAGAGAGGGGCGCCGAGACTGACTGTTGCGACTACGGGTGCGTATGCGTCACCGTCTTCGTGAGGCATGATGCCTTGGCCAGGCTTGTACTCGTTGACCAGTACATGGTTTGGCTGCTGGTGTGGCGTGTGGTCGAAGATGCCCAGATCCTTGAAGCGGTCTATAATAGGCGTTGTCAGGTAGACGGGTAAAGGTGAGGCCAGTAGCGTGTTGTTTTTAGTTAGTGTAGACGGAACCGCTTGGAGGCGACGGTGCGACAGCTGCGTCCATCGCTGAGCTGGGATCTGAACACGAGTCAGTACTACAGATTTGTTGAGAATACCGAGTGATGAGCATGCAGGAGAAAAGTGGACTTTGGGGGTGGGTACGTATGTTGCGGGGTAATGATAAGGCCAATTGATATCATCACTGGATTTGTACCAACTCGCAGTAAATGTCTCAGGGCTGACGGAGACTGACCTTTTGTAGAATCGACGTTTCCTCTTCAACACTAATGAAGTTGGGAATGTAGTAAAAGTCCGGCGGGAGACTAACGATACGGAAAGCCTCTAGGTCGAGCTTTGCATTGGAATATTCCGAGCCTGTCATTGTGGGTGAGCTAGCCTTGAACAGTTAGTATGATGGAAATCTTGGTATTGGATCCCACGGTTGCTGGCTGACTAGAAGACGCGTAGACGAGGTACGTAGTCGGAATGGAGAGCACCAATACCGTAACTTCACTAGTCCATCACGTGATTTACAGAATAGGGCTGATCTCAAATCATAGTATAATCAGGCTAGATAGCTCATAAAAATAATCCAAACCTGTAGTCTATTGTTGGAATTGAACATTGCACCCGTGCAATCAACCCAATAGTGGCTCAAGATCGCAGCCATCTTTGTTGCTTGCGCCATAAATCTAAATCATCTAAACTCCAAGCAATGCATATAGTCAATAGTAATAAAAACCCCCAAACTCCTTGGGCAAAAACCTACGGTCATATGTGTGAAGGTTCCGACATGTATTTGATCGATCCAAAAATCGGGCCCGATCGGTTGTAGTCTCGGATCAACACCATCACATACCTTAAACAGTGAACTCAAACATACCCCTCACATCACAGTGCAACCACCAGGGCCACTTCGTGCACGCCGGCGACGGCCGATGCCTGTCGTACCTGCGCCGCCTTCTTCTTCATCAGCATGCATCATTTGCGCCTCTCGCGCTCGCCTCCGCCGCCGCCTTGCTCCTGCGCCGCCAACACCAGCTTCTTCATTCATCATCATCCAATCAGCCCACTTACGTTCCAGACGTGCAGCAGCGGCAAAGTCGCCTCGCAAGACACGCTTGGTGTGTTCTTCAACAGTTGGTTGCCAGTTGTGAAAGCACTTGAGCTTAATAATCTCACGTGGATACGTCGGGGTTTTGGAAGCGGATCGGGAGGAAGGACGCGTGATTTCTGCGTTACGGGAAAGGACTTCGCGAACACCGGTCCAAGTGACGTTGGAACAATCGTAGGCCTCGATGTGAAGACCCACTTCAGGGCGCTCAGAATGTGCAAGGCCACGGCCGCTCTTGTTGCGATTGCGCAATCCAGAGGCAGCTTCAGCTAAGACGAGATCGGAAATGCGTGTATTGTCCATCTCCAATGAAGCAAGTCGGGGACAGGCTTTGAGAATGGGGAGCATACCGGAATCACCTAGGTTCTCGCAATATGAAATGCACAGATGCTTCAAATGCGATGCACATGGGGACTCAGCAAGTGTCTTTAGGACTTCGTTTGTCAGCGCGTCAATCTCCTCGATATCCAAGTGGGTGAGAACCGGGAGGGTGGGCAGTAAACTTTGCAAGCCATCGTCAGTCAATCCTCCGCACTTGGAGACTTGAAGACCCTCTAGCAATGGAACATTGTTGACCAAGGTCTTTAGGCCAGTATCGGTGATGCTGCGACAGCGAGTAAGGTTCAAGTGCTTAAGCTTCCTAGGCGGGACAATTGGTCGGTCGGTGAGAATGTCAATCTCTTGGTCCACACCTTCGATCAAAGCAGCCAGTGATTCGTCACTAAGACTATCACAGTTCTTCAGGTCAAGCCTTTCCAGTGTGTTCCGCTTGAACAGCTCGGCCATGAGATCAACATCGTCCCAGCCTCTTACTTCACCAGCCCTAATATCCCGTAGTTTCGTGCATCCTTCAACTACCTTCTTGAGCCCTCGGTTATCAATATTGTTGCACCATGAGATATTGAGAACCTCGACCTTGGGACAGTGCCCACCGAGAATCTTCATGGCTGCATTCGTTGCGCCTGCAAGACCAGATAGGTTGACGTGTACGAGACGGCTGTTCTGAAGCAAGAAACAGTGAATCGACGCGCGGTCAATTCGACAACCTTGGAGTGAAAAGTTCTCCAAGTTCTGGCAAGACTCGATGAAGCCGTCTTTGCCCCAGTGTTCCCTCAGCTGGACACAGCCTCGCAAATTCAGGTCCTTGACAAACGGGCCAGCCGAAGTGATGATATTGACCAAAGCATTGGCTGAAATATCGCGGTAAAACTTGGTGGTATCAAGGTCGCTCCAGAGCTGGCCGTCAAAGCACATGGTGTACCATGATTTACAGACACGCGAACAGCGCACAACCTCCCTGGGTTCTAGATATCGAAGAATCTGTATACGGATCTCGGCAGGCATTTGTTGCCAAAAGTTGAAGTTGGCCCGTTTTTGTACCTTGCGAACGGGGCGCGAGAAATAATCGCTCTCAGCCTCGAGCCCGTCTCTGGTAAAGGGTCGGCGGGAGGAAGGCAGGGGGACCGACGATGGGGTCTCGGGCGTCTTCATGCGTAGACGGGTTCTCTCATCCCAGAATGGCGTGCCAGAAGGGCTGTTGGCGACCGAGGTGGGAGCGGTTGAAAAGCCGTTGGATAGCTCGGACGAGTACGAGCTGCCAAATGAGGTACCATAGGGCGAGCCTGGAGAGGCCAAGGAGACACAGGACATTGAAGCCTTGCCTCCGCTTCTCAGGCTCTGTGAGCGGGCCCTCCCAAAGCCGGCGAGGCTTGGAGAGGAGCCCATGCGGTGAAGTCCATTGAGTAGGCGCTGCCTCCCTTTCAGCTTGGGCTGCTCCATGGCCATGGGTTCTGTGGGAGCAATGCTGGGTATTGTCTGTATGTCGTTGTGGTCGACGACCACTGCATCGATAGAGACTGGTTCCATGGCGGCGCGTCAACAGGGGATACACGCTGGCCAGCGAGGAGAGGCTTTGAAAAAAAGGGAAAAATAGGAGCGAGCTGAAGCCGGCCCAGTGGTTGGGCAGGCTGGGCAGTTTTTGATGGGCGCGGATAGCGGAATGCTGACTGGGGGGACTGGAAGGGTCCCGCCACCGTCTAGAAAGGCGGGGGAAGCTGGCCCGTGTATGGTGGGCGTGTCTTATCCGGCTTATCGCAGGTGCACGTCCACCGACCTGTGAGCCGCCCCAAGCCCGATTGGCCCAGTCCACGTGCACAGCCCACATGCCACCAGTGCACCTCCGATGGGGGGCGTTTGGTCGCTTGACCCCCAAACCCCCCGTCGCGTGAGCACAAGATGGCCTTGATGATTCCCATGGCTATGCCATATCCTGGGAGACGACTGTCTCCATTCCAGTTTGATCCGAGGCCGCGGTTCCCATCTGCCCAACATCCAATCACTCCTCGGCCCTGCGGATGGTAGCGTTATGCAGGGTCCCTCCTTCTCTTGGCAACCAGACTAGGTAGAGTAGATTGTGTCTCTGCAGCCGGGCATTGCGTGGTTTTATGCATCTTGACGAATAGAGGCGTATCGTTTCTGGGTATCCACACAGTGCAAGTCTTGGTACGTTGGTTATAACGGCTGGTTTCTGGTGGAATATCGGCGTGCAGATCTACTTACTACATACATACACTGGTAAAACTAACTAAACCCTACGCTGCACCGATCTTCTCCTTCAACTGCGCCAAAAACCTGCTATGTGTGCCTCGCCAATTATCCTCGCATTTCCCTTTGACCGTGTTCACCAGCATCCGGTTCGCCTTGATCTCCACATCCTCGACTAAGCTCCACTCTCCCTCTTCCTCATTGGCTCCTCTGTCCCCTTCTAAACTCTCCGTCCTCAAGCACCTCCAGGTAGTCTTCTGCGTCAGTCCCAGTGGTGCCTTGATGAACCACAATATTCCATCGTCCAGATCTGTCATATGTGCTTCAAATGTCACTTTTGTATCCCACAGCCCAGCTGGAAGCGCGTTCATATGATCCGTGATCTTATATATTTTAGCCTCCGGTGTAGCCGGGTCTGAAGGCAGGGTCTCGTGCGAGGCATATTCGGGGTCGAGACGAATGAGCAGTTCGTGGTTGTGAAGCTGTTCCACAGCTTGTGCATAGCTTATCGAGCGCGGGAGATGTGTCACGTTGCGAAGCGTCGCTGTAGTATTTAGAGCTGAACTCGTAAGCACAGTCACAATCACAAAGTGGTGTGAGCAGACAACTTACAAAACATGGTAGAGAGGTTTAAGGGGTATCCTAGATGTGCGAGATGTGTTTGGTGAAAGTAGTTTGGAAGGCGGGTCTAAGTACTCTGGCTGTTCTACGTATGCCTCGGAGACTAGTTCAGCTGTGCACCAGGCTAGTCGTTGGTCTTATCTGTTGAGAATTGCTTATGAGCTGGTGAAAATAAATACACGGAGGCAAGCCCGACACTTATTGAACACAGTCAGGTTGGGTCGTGTTGATGCTCTAATGGTTTCATGGGCAACAAGCGACTTGTCTCGACATGTCCCGACGGCAATACTGCAACACTCCAAGATGACATCAGCATGCACTCGAAACACGCATCATGTACACGGACACTGAGCGCCCACTGCGGAGGACCGTGAAATTTCGGGGTCTACTAAGCCTCACAAGCTTTGCAAGCTCTTCACCACCAGTCTGCCACATGGAGCGTTGCTGCTCGGAGCAGCAGATTGCGTTGAACGCGACCGGAGCCCGCGGGGAAATGGTGCATGGTGCACTGACGTTGCGCGTCAGGCCTACCAAACTCCACTATTATCATAGGAAGAACACAAGAGCTACAAATCAGGCCGACATTCTTCGAAAAAAAAAAAGACTACATTCCGTTCTTCTACATGCGCATTTTACAATATGGATAATATACTCACACAAAAGACGCCTATGGGTATGGTAGTTGCTCAGACTGTAGGTATTACAGTGAGCATGTTCTTATTTGGTAAACTGCCCCCCTCCCCTGGATATATCCCATGCGGGCATAACAAACCTTAGAAGTAATGAGACTGAATTAAAGTACAGGAAGTAACACATGTCTCTCCCTTGTCGGTATACCCACGGCCATGGAAGCGCCTGCTCCCCTTGCCGTCAAGCAATGGTACTCAATCTTTACCCGAGGCGGAGCAATTGCCCGGCCGCTTGCTATGCTTTCAGCTCTGGCAACAGGATATGTTGCTTACAACCGTGCGTCACTTGAACATCCTACAAGTGTGAGCGACATTGACTGACACATTTCAACAGAAGACTCCAGCTCGACGGCTTTCCGTCTAAACCTTGCTTCTACCATTCTTCTTCCTAGTATTGTACCTTTTACACTGCTCGTCATTGCGCCCACAAATGCAAAGCTCATGGCTAAGAAAGAGGAGCTTGAATCTGCCTCGCTAGAAGACAAAGCTATCGAGGCAAATGCTGCCCAAGGCGAGACGGTGCATGAGTTGATGGATCGGTGGGCCACGCTCAACATGGCGAGAACATTGTTGGTAGGCGTGGGCGCTTTATGTACTGTGCTTGCAGCAGCGAGCAAGAGAGAGGTTGTTAAACTTGGGGGCATGGCCATCAAGAGCGGAGCAAACAGGTTATAGAAAAATAAGTAAAAGCAGACAAATGACGAAACTCGAATGATTGGGACATGAGTTTAGAAAGTAAATCGAATTCATTTGTACATGGATATTCCCCTGTACATCTCATAAGCCGTATACAAAAGTAATTCTATCGTCGCCTTCTCGAGTAGGCCTTGCAGCTCGCTCGAGCCAACCTGTGAGCCAGTTTAGCAGTCTGATCGATTTGGTTACAGTAGCAGCTCTTTGAAGCCACTGGCGCTGTTGTGGTGACGGTCCTCTGCCTTCAAGCCTCTCCAATTCGATTTCGTCTTCGGTCCACTCGCGCAGGATCATACTGCGTGCCTCATTCTCCCTTTTCAGTCTCATGTACAAGAGTACATAACCCGCAGCTGAGAGTGTTATGCAAAATAGCGTCCACCAAAGAGGTACAATGTAACCGTCATCAGCATACTTTGGCTTGAAGAGAAGAGCCGAGATGACACCAGCCATATTCCCCCATCCATTGATACCGAGAAGCATTGCACGTTTGCCTGGCGAAGGTGTATTACCAGATATCCAGGCAACGGTGAGCGGAGATGCTACGTAAGTACCCGAGAGGAGGATGACGAGGGCCACATAGCGAGGTATCACCCATGAAGTCGGGAACAATACGACCAAGACCAATCCCAAAGCCATGATGAACAGGCCAGCGAGGACCGGCTTGAGCCGTATGCGCTGCTTATCGCTGTATGTAGCAAACAAGTAGAGTGTGACAGCGCCGCAGAAATGGGGTGGTACAGTAAGCAGATTGACCAAGGCAGGATCCTTATTTTCTGTCAACGGAGCGAGGACCAGTGGAAGGAAGATGGAAAAGGCATAGACCGGAACGGCAGCAAGAATGTTGCATGCCAGGATGTGCCAGATCTTGGTGTTGAAGATTGCAGATACTACATCTTGGGGCGTGAGCCCACGGTCGTCGATGAGCTGTTTCGCCTGCACATTTGCCGCAGTCGAGCGCTTCGAGGGTTGCAAAAGATCATGAGATTCGTCATCGTGCCCTTCTTCGGGATCCATATCATCTTTGCGTGTTTCATCTGACGAACTTTGTATATCTCTGTCCTGGATAACGCGTGTGCAGGCGTACTTGCGCTCCTCGGGCGCAAGAAACCAGGCCGTGTCTGCGCTATGCGGTAACCAGAAGTATCCAGCAACAGCAACAACTACGGTGAGGCACCCTTCCAAGAGAAAAAGTACCTGCCATGGCTTATATCCGGTTTTTGCATCCTGGTGGTCGGCTCCAAATTGCGAGAATACCAGGTAGCTTAGTAGCCCTCCAAGAGCACCTCCCACGGCTGCCTGGCCGTAGAAGAACGACAAGCGTCTCCCGAACTCGAAGCGCGTGTAGAAGAGTGACATATACGTAACGGTAACGGGATAGAAGCCGGCTAAGTATAATGTCAGCTCCTAGTGCTTGCGGGGCGCACGAGGTGGAATGAGCCCACGTACCTTCGAGAGCACCGATGAGTATCCGCAAAGTGTACAGCTGCCACTTGTGTCGTATCCAAGCATGCGCGGCAGTGGAAATGCCCCATGCGAGCATGCATGACGGTACCCAAAGTACCATGCCAAATCTCCTTCCCAGGGCGGCGCCAAGCGGCTGTAGACTGACGAAGAAGGCGAAGAAGAGAGCGACGGCCGTGTTCAGCGCGTCCTTGTTCAGTCCAACATCTTCGGTAAAGTGGGCAGACTCTGCATTTCCAATCTAGTTAGGTATCAGTACGTGTTGTTGTAGTAGTTGTGTACATGTATGGTAGCATACATTCGTCTTGTCGAGCGCGTTGAATAGGAAGAAGAGGGCCAGAAAGGGAAGCAGGAGAAAATCAAGTTTGAGAAGGGTTCTCTTGTGTAGACGCGACTCTACCGCGGGCTGGTCGTCTTGTAATTCATCCGTCGACATTGCGCTGGCTGTCGCTCGTGAAGCAGGAGCCTCGGTGAGCTCGTATGCCTCGTCGCCGGGCATTCTGTCGGCTGCCAAGATGAGAACCACGCGGACACATCACAAGGCTGACAGCATCGGTGAAGGTCCATACAACCTGTAACAAGAAGGTAAGCAGAGAGTTGAGCCATGTTAAGCTTGCGGCTCAAGGCCGTAAGACGGCACATTTAGACAGCCAAGGGCGGTTTTATTGCCGGCGCTGGACCCTGATGGCTGGCATGACGTTGTCGATTGGAGGAGTGCTATTCAGCCCCCCTCTCGTCCAACGGAAACACTCGGATATCTGCCGACAGCATGCAGTCAGGGTATTGGTGGTGATTTGAGACCCCTGCACTTGTACCGCTATCGCCCTTTTGGCAGTTCGACATTTATCAACACCGTCTCGGCCTTTTGGTTTAGAGGGAAGGTGTGGTGGATGCGCTGAGAGTAACGCCCAAGAAGGGAAGGTGCCCCACTGTTATCGATAAATAACATATCTTCTCCATGCCAACATTGTACCTGCATACTACTACTCTAGGCTCAAACTATTTGCAGCATGCAGCATGTGACCTTCGCTCTTATGAGACTATTATCTCCTTCGGCAGGTCTTGAACCATATACGCGATGGACATCATAAGTTAGTCAGGTCATCCTGTTTCCTCATCTCGTCCTTGGGCTGTTATATATTTAAGCAGCAATTCTATCACGCTCTTGATTCGCATGCGGTGAGCAGCACTGATTTCCGTCATTCTACTTTATCAAAAACAGCATAATTGGTCAGTGAATATGCCAGATAAAAACGCTGTCACTCTTCGTGCAATGCCATTGATTTGTCTACGAGCATATTCCCACTACAGGTACACGGACATCCTTGGCTTTCTCTCGCTCTGAATATATATCCTTTGCTTCAATTCGACATTTCTCGCTTACAACTTGCTGATGAAGAGGCGGGCAGCGAACAAGCGCACGCGCTGGGGCAGGATGTACTTGGAGAAGACGTAGATGAGCGATGGCAGGAGGATAAAGGCCACGGTGGTCTCGTTGACGAAGAAGAAGGGGATGAGCTGGGGCATGGCAGACTTGAGGACCGTCTATTATCCAATGGTCAGTTTCCCAACACTCCCCGCGCAAACAACTAGGGGCTGTTCTCACCATCTGCTGTGGGCTGACCTCGGTCTTCTTGGTCTGGCTGGCGACGAGAGCAGGGCGTGCCATGGCGGCGGGGCGGACAGCCGTGGGGGCGCGGAAGGCAGCCCTGGCAAAGGGACGGAGGAAACGGGCGTTCATGATGGGCTATCTGGGCTGTTGCGGGTCAGCGCGCTGCTGCGGGGGTCCAATGGCGGTGCTGGAGCTTTCGAGAGGGGCAATTGACGCACTGGATCAGGTCTTGCGAGCCCCGGGAGATGAGCGATGATGGTGTTGCGGTCACGGGAGGTTTCGTGGTGGTGGTGATGCTGCTGCTGGTCCGCAAAAGCTCGCACAGCTGCTGCCCGGAACATGCCGCGTCCGTGCGCCGCGCTTGGCATCACCACTTTCCATCCCCACACTTGACCTCTCTCTTGTTCACTCTTCCCAAGAAGATGGCCATCGAAAACATCTTGATACTTGGCGTAAGGGAGATGATGCGCCTGTTAGTTTGTCAAGACCCGCTGACTTGCCTGTAGAACAGACATCTTTGCCATTCTATCATCTCCACTCTAGGTTCACGACATCATCATCTGACGACTGCAACTACATGATTACCGTGCTAACGTATCCCTCTCAAACACTCACTCTTCCGCCCAACTCCCATCAGTTTCCAGTGCAACACAAAACCTCTGATTTTAATTCAGCCGCACTGCAGTCAGCATTTACCGGCTATGATATCATCCTAAACACGATGGCAGGTGGAGACTCGGACCTACAGATTAGCATAATCAACGCCATTGTAGCCGCAGCTGTCAAGCGATTTGTCCCTGATGAGTTCAGTCATGATAATCTGAACAAACAGCTACAAGCCTGCCTACCCACGCATGCAGAACGAGCAAAGGTCATTAACCATCTCAAGAACCTGTCGGATGCTAGTCCGAATTTCGAGTGAACGGCAGTTGCTACAGGATATACACTTAACACCAAAATCATCAATGGCTACATGGGCTTTGACATAGAATGGCAAAGTGCCACTTTTCATGGCACAGGTATGGAGATGTTTGCGGCGTCCAGCCTAGCAAGAATAGGTCAGGTTGTAGCTCGAGTGCTTGCCCATTGGGAAAAGACCAAAAACCAATACATCTATGCTGCTGGTGCTGTTATATCAGCCAATGAAGTCCTCAAGTCTGTCGAGGAGATGACTGGTCAAGAGTTTGCTGTAGGGAGTTATGGCGTAGAAGAATGCGTAGAAGAAGGGTGGAAGAGGATCGAAAGAGGCTATCCTGATTCGGGACTTGCTTTGCTCGAGCGGAGTATACTCTACGATGGCCAGCTGAATGCATCGGCACCTTTTAGGATACACAACGCCAATGACATGCTAGGGCTTGCGCCAGAGTCGGCAAATTCCATGGTTACAGAAGCATATCATCGCTTGAAGCATCTTGGCAAACCGGGTTGTGCATGTGCAACATAAATTCAGTATCTCGAGACCGAATGCCTCTTTCTAGCTGAACAAAACAAAACTCGAATCATGCGCCACAATGACTACGAAGCTGTATCCTCTGCCTTGAAGCCCGCAAATCACAGATCTGGCACTGGTGCGGAGGCTCTGAGGTTTGATACTCGTCGAGGATGTCAGACCACTTTACTGGCAAGACGAATAATTAAGGTGTCTCACACCACAATCAAGATCACACCAAGATCAAGTCAGATCTAAATGTCCGTGTGTATCTATGTCGACAAGGGTGTATCAAAATACTCAACCCTTCAGACCCCCCACCAACCAACCGTCGACCCGAAAAAATAATCCACAAAAAATAAACCATGTCCATTGGCAAGATACATTTTCGATGTACGCAATCCCATCTACCAGCCCAGCCCCACGTCAGCATGCTACCCCTAACTCCGCTTTTTGGGTACGTATCTAGATGACCGGTACATTTCGTGCTCGTGCACCTTGCGTTTCAGTGAGTTTTTCCGTGTGTGGTATCAGATCCTGCTACCCGAAACATGAGGCTGTGTGACGCCAGCGAGGGTGTTTGGCATGCCGAGGCTATCTTACCACTGGGGACTGGGAGTGCTTCTTTCCGGTGGCTGAAGTCGTAGGGCTGTTAGTGGGGAATTTGGGTGGGTAAAATAGATTGGGAGCTACTATTCGCATTCGTTGCCGAACCAGGCGTAGTACTACACCTTGACCACGTCTGTTGTTCGAACGGACCCTGTAAACAAAACACAAAGAAGGATAGGTAGAGAAGATACTGTGGCATTTGAATGATCCTTGGACATATTGATTCGCTGAAAGCAAGTCTATAACATGAACTGCGAGGGGGAATTTACTTAAGTGCTATGGAGAGTGGCAAGGATTCTCGAGATAACGACAAAGCCAAAACTAATCTAACAAGATGCTGGGGGGAAGTCATGACCTCGTGACTACCGCTCGCTGGCGCCAACTCGGCGTAACCAAAACCTAAAGTAACGCTGTATAAACAAGAACGCTCCAGAGAAAAAGAATAAAACCGATTTTGCTAGAAAACCATGCGCTTGATGCTCGGGGATTACAAAGAACGCCTTCGCCGTGGAGAGTTGGAGGGTGCTGGGAGTGTTACGAGGGAAACGATTTTGGTCAACAAACATGGAAAACAACAAACGCAGACCAGTAAAGATGGCGCACCGTCACCTTTCAGTACCACCATGGCAACCTCATATCATACTCGCTATCGAGTTCAATGCGACTGTGGTCGTTCGTATACCAACGAGCTCTGGTTCGCTTACTTGGTGTGTCAAGTCTGGTGTGTACTGATGGTTGGGGAAGTTTGGTAGACTTTGTAATGGCGTGGTGAACATGCCAACAACGGATTCTTGCCTAGTGGTTTGATCCATGTGACTCAAGTTTGCCGATGCCATTGTGGGCGTCCGGAGTGACTGCATCGTTGGTGTTGCTGAAGAAGGCGTGGGGTACGCAGCACTGCCTGGATGACACGAACTGCTAGGTCGAGGGGTCGATGTCGGCGTAGACGTTGGCAAAGACCTGCCATATGATTGTAGTGATGCGCTACCTGGGATCGGGGTGGGCGTGGAATGTCGATGAGAAGTCGGGTCTGCTTGCAATGTGTCATGCTTGAACGGGTACGGAGACGAGGTCGACGAGGCAGATGACACTGCGCGAACTCGCCCGGCTTGCGTTTCCCGACGCCTTTTTGGACCGTCTTTGACTTTCGGGTGTGTGTGGCACTGCGTTTCAAGTAAGTACAGTTGAATATTTGTAAAGGTGACCAGTCTGGCCGAGCGAATTCAATTCGCAGAAGACTTACCTTGTATGCGTGGCGGAACCATGTCGTTCCCTTTTTCTTGTTGCTTACCAGTGCTATCCATTCTCCGCAGCTTCCGCAGAGTCCTTCCCAGACATCCAGGTTACCTTCTGTCCTGCGAGTCTCCTGTGGGCCCTGGAATGCTGCGCCTGTAGCTGCGCTAACACCATGCGTAAACGACTTGTCATACCAGAATGCACTGTTCTTCAGAACTAGCCATCGCCCTGGTTTGCAGAGCCCGCACCAACCTTCACGCTTGTTTCCATGTCCGCGTACCCATCGTGGAGTGTACAAGTCACCCACGAACCGAAGATCTTGCTCGTGCGGGATAAGGTCTGGGTCCGATGGGTTCATGTCAGACTCAGGTGGGTTCGAGGCTTCTTCATGTAGCGATGAATATAGGTCCGGGGGATCCGAAAGGTCAGCAAAGTGGGATGAACAGCCCCCATGACGGTCCGCATTACTCTGGAGCAGACGGAAGAGGCCCTGAGAAGGCAGTGGTCGAGGCACTTCAAGATGGTAGGGCGATTGATCTTGTGCTCCAAAGTATGGTGGGGTGTTGGTATGCTGAGGGTTTGTCTGCGAATACAAGACGTTCTGGGCAGCCATTCCGTAGTTGTTGTATGCGCCCGAAGGGTAGGCTGGCATGGAATGGTGGGGATTCATCCTTGGGCCGTATGGCGTAAAGTGGTTCGGTACTTGGGATACTGTTCGGGCATTGGCGGGGGTTGACGTTGGCGCATGTCCGGTAGACCATCTTTTGAAACGGCCACTGTCGAGTGTGTATGGCGAAGACCGTACGTTATTGTGCGGTGCTGGCGAGGCGCGGGAGCGACTCCCGCTTCTAACCACGCCGTCATACTGAGGACGACACGGTGACGCAAGCGGGGATAGAAGATGGCTCTGGCTGGGTTCTGGGCGGCTCCATGTGTCATACTCGGAGGGGTATGACACAGGCTCCGAAGTGCCCAAGTCCTCGTAAGCTACTGGCTCTGGAAGCACACCACCTGTGCTTGACATCGAGAAAGAAGACTCGGATAGGCGTCGGGTAGTGTGCGGGTTCAAATTTGCCATGCTGTCATGCTCCTGTTGTGGCATGCCATTGTACTGGCGCAGGTCGATGATGGGTGTGTTTTCGTCATGTCCCATGATGCCGTTGCTGAAGTCGGTGACATCTGGATCCAGAGATGGAAATGACTCCAACTCTTCGCACACCTTCTGACCCCATGGACCTATGGTTGTTAGTACAGCACCTGTCACTGCTCGGTCATGGACCTTACTTGTATCGATGACACCCGGAAAGAAATCAGTAGGTGCCAGTGATGTAGGAGGCGCCATACTGTTGCTGTAGAAGTCGCTGCTTGTGACAGCTGGTTGGGTCACATTCACATCTGTTCGCGCCAGTGAGTGTCCCGAGTCCTGTCTACCACCCACGACAGGACCTCGTGGCGCACCATAGTACGAAGGGTGAGGCTGCGGTATCGCCCACGACGATTGTGGTGGCGATGGTCTGGACATTTGCAGTAAATTCTGTGGATGTTGCTGTTGCTGTCCTTGTGGGGTAAGACCCCCGTAAGGGTACATCATCTGTGTCCCGGGCGTGGGAGAGGGGTGGCCCATCGTGTGTTGTCTATTAGGCGATGGCCTGTATCTATAAAACAGGTTGTTTTGCTTAGATGTGCATGGCTAGTTGAGTAGTGTTGGATAAGGCTTACTGCTGGACGGTGTGGTAGTTCATCTTCTAGCCAACCTGCTATATACAACAGTCTTGGTGGAGTCTGAGGATATTCTGCTTATGCCAGGCGGTAAGCAGATAATCAAGAAGATTGTGGCTTTGATGAGGAGTGTGGCGTCGACAAGAGGTTCAAGATTGGTGTCTGTCAAGGAATCCGGGGGGGCGAGCGAAGGACGCGGGCCACTTACATTGGTAGCGAAAGTAGGGATGACTAGTCAAATGAAGGTCTAAGGCGATATATTCGAGGGCCAATATGATGAGCAGATGCGGAACCGAATAAGATTGGATAATGTGGTAAGTGTGGGGTCTTCTTCAAAAGAGTGTACGAGAACAAAAGTTCCCAACAACGCAACCAGCGCGAATGGAGCCGGCTCCAAAAGAAAGAAATGTTTACAAAGATAGTTGGGTCGGGTCCTAAAGAGTGAAGGGCCAAATAGAAGGAAAGACGGCTGGAGGGGCTGTTAGGCTATATGATGCGTACGGGTTCGCAACATCCGAGAGGAACAACAAAGAGCGACGATGTCTGTCTGCAATTGACGCAACGGAACCGCTTCGATTCAAGTTTGAGAGAAGTGTCGCGACGCGCCTTGGCTGCAGGTGATCTGGAACGGAGAGAGCAGAAGCGTTCACCCAAAAGAGAGTCTAGCGGGGATGGATGTAGTGGGCGGTGGACCGCGCGCAAGGCTGCTGGGATTCCAAACGGCGATTAGACGCACTCGGAACGGTCGCACCAGTCATTGTCTCCATCATTCCTCTCGGCTTACTCGGAGAGGGCTCCTCAGCGGAGGGCAGCAGGCGCCCCAAGTCGCCATGGCACAAGTGTCTGTCGACATGGATGGAGCGATGGCAGCAGCCCTCCGCCATCAACTCTAACACTAACAGGGGCCATGTTGGTGCAGACAGCAGTCGAGCTGGGCGGGCAAGCCATGACTCTCTCTCCACGATCCGAAGCCAGGTTTCAGCGCTGGCCAGAGATGGTGTAGAGCCAGTGAAGAAGGATGGATGGGGTGAAGGAAGAATATGCCTGGGAAATGTGCAACCTGCCCATGTATCAACACGATTGGGGTGGGCTGGCAGGCCGTTTCATCGCATCAGGAAGACTGTGCTGAATTGGGCGGAGGGCCATCCCGACGACGAGGATGGGCCGCTGATTGGGGATGAGGTTGGTTGGGTCGCCTGTGGCGCGTAGTTTTTGGTGAGGGAGGCGGATGAGGTCAGCGACCGAATCCATCCAGCCCCACGCCTTTTACCGTGTCGCGACGAGGACGAAACACTCCTGACACACGCCCAGGGGCATTTGCGACCCACTCTGACCGCAACATGTACCGCACCATCACCACAATCCTCACCTGTTCTCGTATTGACTCGCCGAGAGCAATCGCCCGGCGGACCCGTTGTGCGGTCGCGGTGGCCGAGTATCCCTCCTCTGCAACTCGACGCCTTCTGTTTATGCCCCCTCAGACGGACCGCATCCTCGCCGAACCGTACCATCATCCTTACTGGCCTCTTAATCTCGGTCCACCAGCTCAGGCGCCGTTTGGTGTGCAGGAGCGTGGGCTGTACTGTCGGCGTAGTGCTGCACAGCTACTATGAATGTACATGTGTTGTGTACTTGGTCAATGTGTCGACCTGGTGGCCTTGCTGCGGTGCGGGCCATGACAGGCTCTCACACCTGCTATCGAGTCATGTTGACAAGTGACAGCGGCCGATCGACTGTGTGTGTGTAATTGGAATTACCAGTATGGGGTGCAGCGTGGCGTGAAGCCTGCATGTATATCCCCTCTAGTATCATCTGGGGCCTGCCAGTACACAAATGGAGCAGTAGCTTGGCCACGCCGCATGGCCGAGTGTATCGCGCCATGTCCCCAAGTATGTACTCATGAACCTAGCTATCTGACTTGCCTAAAAGTGCCGAGCCTGGGTTTGTAGCAGGGTTTTGAGCCTCCAAGATGTCTAAATTAACTATTGTACCGAAAGACACACCAGAGAGCATGAACTAAGTAGATTTCGTGCAGCACAAGCCAAGCCGGAGGATGCGCTACAAGGTGCTGCACGCTACCAGTGTTAATGCTGCCTTAGACAAGCAAGGCATGCCCATGCTTTGCCCCAAGCTACCTGCGTAAAGCTCCTAATTTTGGATCTCGACTTCCCAAACGCTATGCACTGCCTTGTCGACCTTCACCCAACACTTGCACGTCCTGAACACACGTGAGGTTTTGCCAAAACAGTGCGACCTTGTTTCCAGTCGAAGCATAGTCTTGCAAAAGTGTCTGGCTATTGTTTGCTATTGCATTATCTTCCGTCGTTTTGCTTTGCCCCCACTCTCGACCAGGCTAGACACTGCTGTGAGGATTCGAAACCCATCTACGAAGAATGCTCGATCAGTCCCGATTCTGATTTGAAACTTTAGGAAGAATGGCATCGATTTGATCATATCGATTTCTGGCTTCAGTCAGATCTATTGTTGATGTGTTGGTGTAGATCATGTCGTGATCTCTATCAATGTACACATATAGTCGTCATTCTCCTTGATCTACACAGGCAAGCCCTGCGCTCAACAAAAAATCTCTGGAGGACCGAATACACGATCAACATATCCTTGGTGCTCCAAAACAACACAGACACCCGTACCGATGAAGATCTTCCTCTCGTGATCCACCCCCGTAGACCCAGTAGACATATTAGTGCTTATCCAGCATACCCCCTTTTTCCACCTGTAGTACATTCTAAGAAGCGGCATACAAAACCGCCTACAAAACACAGTGAACAAAACATATTCTGACCCGAACCAAAATTCTCACCACACCTACACTATCACCCTCAAGCTACAGCCCCTACACTTCCTAAAACCAGGCATACAAAACCATCTACAAAACAACCATGAACAAAACATACCCGGATAGTTCAAACCCCCCTTCCACATAACATAAGCACTATTACTCTACACAAGACTAGGCAAGGAAGAAAAAAAGATAGAGACACCCCTCCCCCTTCCCCCTTCCCCCTTCCCTGTGCATCGCCAAGTAAAATTTAAAAAAAGAAGCATCTTATCAGTAGAACCACAAATAATGCTATTACCAACATGCACGTACGTACGTACGTACGCACGCACGTACCCCGCGATATGCTCTATTTTTTCAGCCCTACTTCATGCCTTGATACCCTGAAGTGGGGTAAAGGGAAAAAAAGGGAGAAACAGGGAGGGGGGCAAAAAAAAAGATAGGCATGGGGGCGGGACTTGATACGGTATATGTGTGTAAATAGTGGTACGTATGGGGAGAGATTCAGATCTTCTTTTTTTGTTGGATGGCATGTATGGAATTCATTAACTGTCTGACCTATGCCACTTTATTTTTCTCTCTGTTCCTTTCAAAATAAAGGTATGTAACAACAAGATAGTCTGTTTGATGGATATGGTTGTTCTGGCATATGCCACCTGGAATATGTCTGGATTCAGCCGAGCAGAAAGCATGGGGTGTGAAGTGGGTAAGACGAGCACAGCCTTGTTGCTATTCAGGGAGTCTGCACATGCGTCGTCTGGTCGGACCGAGGATAGAAAAGAGGAGGTCATTATCAGATATTGTTTCACGTCGCATCTATGGACAACATACACTAGTTTCACAGGGTATACATACTAAGCGGCCTTTCTTGTCCAGGTCATGTAGTGGATACTGGGGACCAAGCCTCCAGTCCATTATCCAGGACTTGCCGCACTAAAAAAAAAAGAACTTTCCCACCCCATTCCGAATTTGATACACACTTCGTTCTGTCGTCCCGTACATAAACCGTGACCGTCTCTCACAGTTTTCCGATTTTAATTTCACAATCTCCGCTAGTAGTGTCGAAACTCAACGTACTGGCGCCACTGCCCTTCTTCGCTTCGACATGATTTTTGCCAGGCGTGTCGTTTTCGCTAAGCAGTTCTAGCTCCTTGCCTTGCAGGTGCAGTGCTCCGTTAAGAGAAGTTCCATCAATATGACCAGTCCACTCTTCCGGATAGGTGATGTCGAGGGCTCCAGAAGTGCTCAGATGCGTGCTGACAAGACCAGTCATCGGTGTCTTTTTCGCCTTGTATGGAGTGCGTAGTGTCAGCGACGTTTGACCCGAGTGTGTCTGTGTGTATATCTCCGATTGGTAATCACCCGATTTGAAAGGCAAGATGTCGGCTGTTACGAGACCTGCGATTGAGTTGATTTCTGTTCGCGAGCCGTGGATGAAGGTACCGTCGACTGAACCGACGGTTGTGTTGATAAAGGTCTGGTAGTCTCGTTCGGGGATATGCTTTCGTTTAAAATCGGTGCGTATGCTGCCGGATAGAGTGTCGACCATGAAAACTGCAGGGTTGGATGACCCATTGGCAGTTTCTTGAGGCTCAATGTTGATGTTGACAGACCCGCTCTTTGTTTTGACAGAAAGGAGATCGAAGAGGGCGTACATGCCGCTGATGGAGCCAGAAATGGTTTGCAAGTGAGTTTGGCGCGAATAGAATGCTCCAACATCCAGTGTACCGGTGGTGAGAGAGATTGATGTCGAGTCTGTGACGGTAAAGTTGGCGCCATTATGAACCTGCATGCCCATGTGGTTGGACGAGACTTTGAGCTTCTTCATCGAGACTCCAGGGGCTACGTAAATGACCACCGACATACCGAGGCAAGCTTTACCAGCCCGTACGCCGTCGAAGCCATCGGGAAAAGAGGGGTCGCCGATTGTCAGTCCTGATGGGGTCTGTGTGTAGGGAACGCTGTTGACATCGACTGTTGACGAGATTGCATACGACATCTTGACCTGAACAGTACCAGGGGCTTGCTCTGCAGGCGCTTGGGTAATGTGTATCCAGCCGGCCACACGTTTGTAAGAACCGTCCAACTGGTGTATCGCTTCTTGAATGTTTAGCTCGCTAGGTTTGCCAAAATCGTACCATTCAGTCTTGACACTGTACTCCTTGCCACATTTTGAAGGCCACCGGATTGGAAAGACTTGAGCAGAGTCTCCTGATGCCGGGGGCTGGGCCGTTGATGATTGCGCTGGCCATGGGATGGCAACGAGGTCTGGCCGATCAGAGGAGTCGGCTTTTGCAGCCTCGACTGAAGTTTCCGGAGCAGATACTACGCCCTTTGTGAAGGTTAGCGTCATTCGAGAATATTGTTGTCTGCCCAGCAAATGTCACTTACTGGCTTGGTCCTCCGAACCGACACAGCTGCCGCCATTAAAGCCAGCATGGCGACAAGAAACATGAAGCAAAGCACTGCAGCAAGCAGCTTGACCCACGTCTTCCGCATGCAGCGCTGTCTCAGACTTCGGCCGTCATACTGGTCTTCTTTGAAAGTTGCATCCCTGGCTTCTTGGCCATCGAAGGAGAGCAGCCTGGCGCCCTCTCCCCTGCTCTGGCGACTCGTGTACAGGCCGGGGGTGGTGGCTTCAAGATATGTGGGTGGTGCTTCTGAAGTCTGGCCTATGAAGCTTTCCAGAAGCGGCGTGGAGCGTTCATTGTATGGAGATGGGGATATTATGATTTGGGGTCGCATTGAGCGACTGTTGGCAGCCGCAGTGTCGATGTACATGATGAGGGAATGGAGCAGGAGATGCCCCAAGGTGGAAGTGAAATCAGGAGCAATGTATTGGATGGATTAAAGAGCGTGGGTGAAGGAACGCCTGAGTCGACGTCGTGGGTGTTTAGAGACGGACAGAGAAAGGAGAGCAGAAGAGATGCAGAAGCCAAGGAGACAAAGTCAGGCAGCGATTTCAAGGTATATCAGGTTCGGCAACAGGTGCCAAAATGTTCATAAGCCGTTGCACGGGCTGGGTTGTGCAATGGGCTGCTACACTTTTGTTTCGGTGGTGGAAACGCGGCATGTTTGATGTGTGTCTTGGCAAGCAGAGGAGGTATAGAAGCAAGTCCAGAAGTGGCAGACGACCCGCGTCGACGATTTGTGGTCGAGGGGCGTTTTCTTTTTTGTATGTTCTGAATCAACTGGTTTCACCGAGTGCGATGGAGTCGAGTGCAGATGAAGATGGATTGAAACAGGAAAAAAAGAGTAGGCCTTGGAGCATGTCGTGGGTGCGTGTGTGTGTGTGAGTGGTGTGTGAAGGGCGTGGTGGGAACGGCTGTCTAGGCGGGCCATCGCCCAGGGGCCTTAGCGAGAGAGGCGGGGCTGGGCGGTTGACGTAGCGAACGGCGGTGCATCAGAAAGCCACTGCCTCAACCTCGACATGGCGGCGCTGCAGAAGCTGTCGAAACTCTCAGGCCCGCACTGCATCCTCCTGGCCGTGCACTATGCCGCTCACGCCAACACACCTGCGCTACAGGCCTTGACAGCTCTGCGCGACGGCGACTTGCCACTGGAGCTGAGCCTGAGCATCCTCCTCGCATACCTGCCAGAGCAGCACGACCCGGCCTCGTACTACCACCTCCTCGCCGGCCTGGCTACGGGCGCCCGCGAGCCTGGCGATAGCCCGGCCGACGCCCTCGATGTCACGCCTGTCGAGCAGCTCTCAGATGTGCGCGCCCGTAAGAAGAGGCAATCGCTGGTGCTGCCACCTGTAGCCCATCCGTTGTATGGAGCGGACCGTGACTTGGACCTCTTCACTCACTTCCTCATCCACCGCTCCCACCGCATCGATGCCCAGACAGGCCTGCTAGATCTCGTCCCGCGCCTCGTCGTGCCCTTCCTCGACCACTCGGAGCACCTGCGTACCTGGTTCATCTCCACTGCCCTTCCCCTCCTGCGCCTCAGCTACGAGTACTATCCACACTTGCCTCCACCCACCCTCGACGACTTTGCCGCACTCAAGGGGCGCCGTGCCGTTGATTTGCAACTCTCGAATGCATGCAATGCCAGCAAAGATGACATACACAATGTCGCGCGCGATCTCAAGACTGTCGTTGCCCCTTGGTTATGTGGAGCCCACGACCGCAGTCGGCGCGCCTCTGTGACCCACGATCGGCGCGGGTCAACCGACGGCGGGGGACCACACATATCCGACGACTGGGATTATTTATTTCAATGGCTACTGTATACCTCAAAAGACCACCTGGCCCTGATCACAACAGCCATTTCTGAATGGGACGGTCCCGAAGACATTGATTTGGGGGGTTACGAAGAAGGGCGTGACTACGTTGACGATGACCAGCAACGCCAGCTCGAGATCAAGTATGCGCGTACAACTCTAGCATGTCTCTACCTAATTCACCAGAGTGACATCAACGCTCTGCAGACTGCGCACGCGCTGTTGGACCGGATATGTACACTACTCAACTACGATTCGCCCCCAGACCTCAATACAAGCGTGGACAAATTGCCTGCTTACGATCTCAAGAACCCTCTGCTCCATGATTCAACTACTGCCCTGCTCAGGGAAGAGCGTCTTCTGCACCCCGATAACGCCCTTACTCAGCCAGGCCCTGATGCGTTTCGTATTCTAGAACTCATCATATTCACTTCATATACACTTTTTACATTACACCACCCAGTCTCTATCCGAGACATTGCAAACATGTCTCTGCGGGATGACTACTCTGAGCAAATGTCCATGTTGCAGAAAATACTTCATACACTCAACAGCAACTCCAAGAGCGACAGCGAACAGTGGCGCATCATCCGATCGAAGCTGGTGTGGCTGTGGAACTGGGGTACTGACCGCCACGACGAAGATCGCAAGGCCCAAGGCATCTTCGGTATGCTAGATAGCAAGACCATGGAGACAGAAATATTGAAAGCGCTCCTCGAGAGCAACCACTTCCCTCTTGCCATAGAAATCTATCTCAAGCCGTCCTTTGGCCAGCAACCGCTACTTTCCTCTGATGTAGAGAAAGTAGTGCTCGCCTCAGCCATGCATCACTACGACAATGCTAGCAACGGGAATCGCAATAGGGGCGGCGCCAAACGCGCCGCTGCCATCTTAAATGCCTTTGCCCCTCATTTTCCCTCTTCATCGCGTTTCCGGCGTTTCCAGGCTCTGCTTTCAGCAACCCACGCCATGTCGTTCTACTCACTCATACTCCAGCATGGTGTGCCTTTTCAACCAGTCAACATCAGAGTTGGCCCGAATCCTTTGTCTCTGGTCCGGAAGCTGTTGTCGCAAAATAGTGGTAGTTACACGAAGCTGGACGACCTGGTGTCGATTGGACAAAACCTAGTCATCGCAATGCCGTCCACCATCATGGATGAAGAACAATGGGACACTGCACTCACCCCCGTAGAGATTGAAGCGAAGAAAGCGGCTGCCGAAAGACGAGTGATTGGAATGGCGATCGAGGCTGCTCTCGAAGAAGATGATTTCGAGACTGCATATTCATACGTGATTACCCGGCTGACGCCGACTACACCATCGGGCACTCCCCCAACGCCATCTCACTATTTCTCAACCACGTCAGAAGATGCCGAGAACCACGAAGACGAAGCTGAGGACGTTGCCTGGCGGGCTGCTCTACGTGCTGGACGTTACAACTCGTCATCACTGTCTAGCAGCTGGTCGCAAGCCACTAAAACAGCGAGACCGGACCTAAGGAGACTGGAGCAACGCATGGAGTTGCTTTCACAAGCGTTATTGTTAGCACCACCTAAACATCTTGAAGAGGTTCTTTGCGTATGGCAGCAGTGCGAAGCTGAAACAATGCATCTTCTCGCTCAAGAGAACGAAGCTGAGGAGCGCTTCAATGACGCAGCAGACCGAAAGCTGCCTGGCACATTTGACCTGGAAACAACCACTGTGCAGCCTCGTCGCGAAGTCGGTAGGGGTGCAGTTGAAGAGGCACCGATGGGTCTATTTGATGTGGCACGTGGCGCTGCAGCTGCGTTTTCCAAGACGGCCTTCCCCCTGCGTGGAAGCGCAGAGGCTGTATCGAATACAAAATTTGGCTCGGGTCGAGCCAGTCTAGACGGAAGTGAGACTGGTAGCATTGACGCCCAAGAGCGTGTTCGGAGGAGGGACATGGTGACCAATGCCGCGACAGGGGCTCTTGCCTCCGGCATTGGATGGATGCTGGGTAAGAAGATCAATTCACTGGCCGACTTCGAGGCTAACCAATTTCAGGTGCAAAACCAGTCTCCGAGTGAGCTTCTACCCGAAGTTATTTCTAGTGAATTGGAATGTAGGATCCCCTCAATATCACACCCACACAACCTTACAATAATATTGTGTGAAACTCCCTCCCATATCCTCTTTTATACGACTCTACTTACTGTTGGTGACGCTTGGTATTTTAGTGAGTGATGCCGTCAAAGAATCCACTTAAGCAAAAAATGAGAGGCTGTCCCTATACTGTGATTACAGTCGAAACCGTGAAATCTTTTTCTTGCACCTTCACACAATCTCTCTCACTTTCACCTTTGCAGCTTCTCAGCTGCCGTTTGCAGAGCCGGGACCCACTCAACATTACAGCGTGCCTGCCTCTCTAGCTTCACCTCGAATTGTTTGTGCCTCTCACCCCCAGCCTACAAAAACTAGATCTACCGTCGACTCCAGTCTCTTCTTCTGACCCACACACAAATACCCATACACATACACACCTCGAAATACCCCAAGAAACAACACAAAATGTTCATCAGGACGTTCATTGGTCTCGCTGCTGCGCTCAGCGCTGCAGTTGCCTTCCCTAGGACCACTGCTGGTACGAAGCAGGTCCGCATGCACGTATTCGGTGAAGACAACTGCAATGGCCCCATCACCTTCATGTCGGCCAACGCGGACACGTGCTACGAATTTGTTGCGGGCATCAAGTCTCTCCGCGTTGTCCACCACGACAACTCGATCCGCTACAACGCTCGTAAGTCACTCCCTTGGTTTTCCTTTTTACTAGCCTTGAGTTTGCGGTTTGGAAGATATACGAAAGAAAATAGCAAGGGCTAACATGACTGGGAAAAATCGATAGTCAACGTCTACTCTGCGCCCGACTGCAAGTCCGGTCCTGTGCTCCAGCCCATCTTGAACGACGGCTGCTCGGCTGTCGTCGCCTACAAGGCTATCAAGCTTTCGATTGATACGCCCAAGATCTAGACCTGGGCTAGAGTAAGTTTGAACAGATGTGCAACCTTGTGGTGGCTGCGATACTAACGATGGCTTAGACACTGAGGCACAGCTGCAAAGACCGGTGCACACAGGTTATGGAGAACGAGTCGGAAGTGCTTCATAGTATACTCAAGAGATTAGGTGGATATATCCGAGAGGATGATATGGGCTGGTAGAGAGGCTTGAACACGGTCGCCAGACTTCAGTGATATGGTGCCATCCTGGCTTCCTTGATGGATGGAGAAAAATAAAATAAAATGGCAATATACAAATGCAGTTGATAACACAAATCTACGGGACTCCTTCATTCATGCAAATTGATGTAGACATGATGAAGCATTCTTGCATATTCAATTCCACAACACCAATTTGCTCTCGCCCACCGAATTGGCTACATACTCAATGAACAACACATAGATAGACATTCACAAGAGGAAATCTCTTTCCTCACACAAATAGCAGCAACACAAGCGAGAGTCTGGACATGTCTTGACAGCATAATCAATATGTTGAATTGATAACGAGCTAGTACAGAACAGAAAAGAAAAAACGCCGCCGCTGATGCTCATCATGCTAAAGACGATGCGGGAGGTATATATAAAAGACGAGAAGAAAAAAAAGGAAGGAAAGAAGGCAGTCTGGTACCAAAGTGCATTCTCCCAGATATCCGAGGGTACAACAAACAAAATCCTGACTTTTGTTCTCTGTTCGATGCTTGTTCTTCTTCTTCGTCCTCATCATCATAGTAATCATCTCTCTTTCCCTAACTAAGTGAGTTCCTTTCTTACCCGTGTTTGACCCCACCTTCCCAGAATACAAGTCAACAACGAACCTCTTGCCGGCACTCACACATATACCCTTACCCATAACTTTTCCTCACTAAAAGGCCATCAATGGCACAGCGTTGAGTACACGTGCCATCTCATTAGGAGCCATCTGAGCACTCTGCATACTACGCACTTGGCTGCCCTTGCGGAGACGCTGCAGACCAAGCGCCAGTTTCCAGCTCTCGCTATCGTCAATGAGGAAGACGTATTTTTTGCCGTCGGCGTCGCGGACAGAGGCTCGGAGGATGTGCAGATTCTTGGCGGGTTGTTTGCCCGTCTGACACAAACACATATGTTAGCATCGTCATCTCAAGCTGCCATGCTAAACAACAAGCCGACTTACCTCTACCATTTTCAGCGTCCAAGCCTTGACATCCCACTCACGCTGTGGAATGCCTCGCACATCATCGTCGATGAAAAGACCCTCGGATTGAATCTTCAGAATGAGCCCGTCGGTTACCTTGCCCACATTGGATACGAGTTGAGCAACGGGCTTTGGAAACAAGTCGTTGAAAAGATAGACAGCCTTGATGACAATCTTGTTGGGATCGGCTGTCGCGTATGGCCCACTTTTTGAAGCTGGTGGTGTTGTGCGTGTAGTCGACTCTGAAGGTGCGTAAGAAGACTCGGAGTATTGGGAAGAAACGTGTGAGCGAGTAGCAGTAGACCGAGGCGGGACAAAAGACTTTCCGTCTTCGCTGCTGAGGTAAGACTTTGCAGTAGGTTTCTCGTAAGATTTCTTAGATGTGACGGTAGCCTTGATAGGAGACGATTGACTAGAGGCGACGGAAGCAGGAGCTGGCATTCTTACGCCTGCATAGGGATCAAGTCGTTCACCGCCACCAACGCCACCGTAAGTAGTAGATCTGCGGGTCGATGTGATCTCTGGGGCAGCAGCGGCAGCGGCAGCAGCAGCGGCAGTGGCAGCAGCCGAAGCAGCAGCAGCTTCTTCAGCTTTGATTCTCTCTGCTTCGGCTCTGATCCTTTCTGCCTCAGCTTTTATTTGCTCAGCTTGGAGCTTCTCAGCTTTGATCTTCTCGACCTTGAGCCTCTCTGCTTCAGCCTTGACCTTCTCTGCTTCAGCCTTGAGACGAGCCTCTCGATCTCTTTGAGCTCGTTCACGTGCTGCTTTGAGACGCTCTGCTCGCTCAGCATCTGCTTTCGCTTTGGCAGCAGCGAGTTCTGCTTCAAGCTTCGCTTTTGCTTCGGCAGCTTCAGCAGCAGCCTTGTCAGCAGCGGCCTTCTTCGCAGCCTCCTCTTCGGCCTTGGCTCTCTGTTCGGCTTCGAGCTTTTCGCGAATCTCCTTTTCGATCTGAGCTCGTGCTTCTGCTTCGCGTGCCTCACGCTCTGCTTTCTCCTTCTCCAAAGCCTCTTGTTGCTTGCGGGCTTTCTCCTTGGCCAGGCGTTCTCGTGCCTCACGTTCACGCTGCTCTCGCTCACGTTTGCGCATCTGCTCCCACTTCTCCTTCTCAGCTTTGGCACGCGCAAGTTTAGCTGCTTCTTCCTTGGCTTTTTGCTCTGCCTCCTTCTTCTGCCGTGCTTCTTCTGCTCGTTTAAGCTCCTCCCACGCTCGCCGACGGTCCTCTTCTTCCTTCTTCTTCTTGGCCGCCTCAGCAGCTAGTCGGGCTTCTTCAGCCCGGCGACGCTCTTCCTCGGCTTTGCGTTCTTCCTCTGCTATACGCTGTCGTTCGGCTTCCTCTTGCCTTTGCCTCTCCTCTTCGGCAAGCCTTTGCTGTTCGGCCTCGCGCCTCCTTCTCTCTTCCTCGGCTTTTTTCTTCTCCTCGGCCTCGCGCTTCAGTCTGGCTTCTTCCTTGAGCCTGGCCTCCTCTTTCAATCTGGCCTCTTCTTCCAATCTAGCCTCCTCCCTGATTCTTGCCTCTTCTCTGAGTTTAGCCTCCTCCTTGATTCTTGCCTCTTCCTTAAGTCTGGCTTCTTCCTTGAGTCTGGCTTCTTCTTTGAGTCTGGCTTCTTCTTTGAGTCGAGCCTCTTCTTTGAGTCGAGCCTCTTCTTTGAGTCGAGCCTCTTCCTTGAGTCGAGCCTCTTGCTTGAGTCGAGCTTCCTCCTTGAGCAGAGCTTCTTCCTTCAGCCTGGCTTCTTCTCTGAGTCTAGCTTCTTCTCTGAGTCTGGCTTCTTCTCTGAGTCTGGCTTCTTCCTTCAATCTGGCCTCCTCAGCTTGCCTTTTGGCCTCTTCTGCTTGTCGCTTGACCTCTTCGGCTTGTCTTCTGGCCTCCTCTGCTTGTTTTCTAGCCTCCTCTGCTTGGCGCTTGAACTCCTCAGCACGCTTACGCTCCTCTTCTTGTGCCTTTGCTATCTTTGCTTTCTCGGCGCGCTCACGCTCGATTTCCTCGGCACGTTTACGTTCGGCTTCCTCTTCTTGTTTCCTTTTGGCCTCTTCAGCTTGCTTGCGCTCTTCTTCCTGTTTCGCCTTCTTCTCCTTCTCCTCCGCACGCTTCTGCTTTTCTTCGGCGCGCTTCCGCTCTTCTTCAGCTCGCTCAGCCTCTTCGTCTGAGGAAGGCCCGTCGTCTTGTGGAGGCGGTGACGATGCGGAGCCGTATTGTCGGTACCCACCCCATCCACCATGAGGCGGGGGGCTGCCTGGGAAGCCACCGTTTCGAGGCGGTGGTGGGGGTGCTCGCTGGTAGCTGGAGCTGCTTCCAGAGTTACCGGCACCAGCACCAGCACCTGAGCCAGCACCAGGTCCGCCGCGTGGCCCATTGCCGTACGCCGCGCCACCCCCGCCATTGAATCGCCGTCCGGCCTGTGTCTGGCCAAAAGCCCATCCGGCAAGGAGCATGAGGACAGCTAGGAGAATGACACCATTGCCGCCAGTTGTGACTCCATGCCTGACGATGAGGAAATATTGTTTGACGTGTGGCTCAGCAGCTTTCCAAAGGACTATACTGGCTATGGTACTGAGTACACCAGCTATGAAGCTGTTCTGTTGCACACCCAGGCTGGGCAGGTATATGAAGCCGCCCCCTGAGGAGTGTGGAGGAATGATGAAGATGTCATAGTTGCCCGGGGGGAGACCGCCGGTAGGAGGGGGTTCGGGAGGAGCATGACTGCCTCCAGTTGTCTTTGGATTGGCACCATGTGGAGGTGGGGGAGGTGGAGGGCCGTCGTCCATGACTATGTACGCCCTCTAGGGCGGGTGGGTACGGGGGTCAGGGCAATGGTTCGTTGGGAATGTCGTGTCCTGCAACAGGTACAATCAGTTGCAGAGGAGCTGGGCGGTGGGAAGAAACAAAGCAGTGGGAAATTTCATGAGCGGAGCTGACTCGAAGCGACGGGAGAGGGTTGGAGCGGTGTGAGTGGGTGGGGTAACAATAGTGGTTATTAGATTATTCTCCAAGTCTCCCTCCCTCTGCGTAGACACACACTCGGGGCCTCGCTCTCTCGAGGTGCAGAGAGAGACTGAGTGTGGTGAGAGCTGCAAGGTGTCCTCGCTGAGGCTAGCACCATTGCTTTCTCCCAGAGCTGACTGCTCGGTTGTTTTTGGGTTTGTTTACGCCAAGCACCCGGAACGGCTAGCGCTGGCGGGCCGCTGGCGCTGCATGGCGACGACGCTACATTGTGGCACACTCTCCCACAGTCTGTTCGCCTGTGCCACCATGTGGTTGCAAACCAGATTGTCCCTTGTCTGAGCAGGTTTTTCTTCTTCTGCATGCCGGCCGCGACCTTTTAAATGTCGTCGGGTCCGCTGGAGACAATACAGGTGGCTGGCAAATAACACGTCACGCGTGGTAGAAGCTCAGTTGGCGGGCCAGCAGGGCCGAGCGGTGAAAGCAGCTTCGGCCAAAGGAGGCGGAACACGTCGGGTGTGCATCCTTATGTCAGCCTGGGCCAAGTGCATGCACTCTTCCAACACGGGTATTTGGTGTTGTTGTTTGGTGGCATCCAGCATGAAGCTTATGTGGTTTTGGGTTAGGATAAGGCTGTTGTCAATAGGTATCTCGAGCGTCAGGACCCGTATTACTTCCTCATCTTCGTGGCTCTTCACCAACAATGGCCTGTTCTAGGTCTTCTTAGGATATATATATATATACCTATGTCTATGTCTCGGAGTTGCGAAAGACTTGCTACTAATTCGTTTCTTTGGCGACGAGGCTTTCTGCCCTCGAGGTTTTCTCGTCAGCACGGTGAGTTTGTACGCTAACTAAATATAGGGCTGGGTGTGAAAGCTCCATGTACCTGGTAATGGTCTAATTTCATGCCTACTCTAGACTACCCGGACGTCTACCGACAATGTTGGTGGAATCTGGCCCTGATTAGGACACCATAAAACCTGAACAGGAATGTTATCTGGATCATATGCGACAAGGATATGGCTGACGTCAGGCTAAGTGTGTAATGAGCGAGCTACAGCTATGTCATGATTTGACAGTTCCAAGGTCGGTTGCCGCTTTGTTCAGTCAGCAAAGAGTACCTGAGGCCTGAGGGCAGCCTTGCAGTCTGGCAGGTCAAGGTGGTGGTGGTGGTGGTGGTGGTGGTGGATGACATGACTGGCCTTGAACTTGGCTTCAAGTGGTTAGCGCCTTGCTATTGTCTTCTGCCAGCACCACACCAGTGTTTACATACGGTACACACCCACACCCACACCCACTCCCACTCTAACGGCCTCGTGGACAAGGACAAGATTGACTCGACGCTAGGAGCATCACGTGCATATCAACAAAGATGATATTCTGGGTGGGGGGCCAGCCAGGTGGCACGGGCGACGAATCACAGCCTAGGGAGCGAAACACGCCTGGCACGCGTCAGTGTGCGATTCGACCATCCGAGCAGCAGCATCGTGTCACTGCGGGGTCGAGAGGTGGGTGAGCAGCAAGCAGTGGATATGGTGGGCGATTGTGGCAGCCGATGGTGCCGCATCGAGGCGTCTGCGTGCCCTCTGCAACGCGTGGACATGGCAGCAGCAGCAGATTGCACGGTCACCTGCCCCGCTGATTTTCGCCCATGGCAAACGGGTTCCGAAGATGGCCCGATGGGAGACTTGGGAGTCGAGGGGTCTGGACATGGTGGTTTTGGTGCTGAGGGCGTGGGTGACAATGGCCCCAAGCTCACGGCATTCTCTTCTTCTTCAGCCCTGCGCGGCGTGGGCCCACCCTCTCCACCACGTCATTGCTTCACCATCACGCCAGCCGCCCCCAACAACGATACGAGCCAGATTCGTCCGACGCCGGGACGAGTCGGGATGCGATGGCTGCCGTGCGGTGCGCCAGGCCTACTGATCCGCATGCAGGTACAGGGAGTGCTATTGTGTGCAGTCGTGGCCAAATCAGCTGGCAGCGGCAGCGTGCAAGCGGCGGGATGATTGGGCGAGAGGCATCGAGCAGCACCGGTTGACAAGGCAGGAAAACAAAGAGGCCTAATAAAAGAGCAGGGCGCATACGGCTTTGAGACACGGCTTAGGTCCAGTGCAGACAAGACGCACCGCTGCTGCGACAGACTTTTCCACCCGACGCCCACACGATGCGGAAAATGGCGGTGAAAAGCGGGCACTAGCGCCGGCCGACTCGAGCACACGCACGACGTGACCAAGTACTAAAGCTCGGCCTGCGGCACATCGCGCCCACCTGTCCGCGTCCGACAAGACTGTAGAGGGTGACTGTTGGGTACGGCCATCGCACGCAGCAGGAACCCTCAGACGACAACGACGACGACTGACGCCCTGGCCCGTCTCCGATTGCCAATTGCCCATCCGCCCTCCGCCATTGACACCTCTCCCACAGACAAGCTTCCCCCCCACGCAGCCATGTGGAGAACTGGCCTGCTCTACCTCGACCGCGGGGACAGCTCCATCCTAAACGCCCTCCGCAACGCCGGCTACGACACGCAGAACCAGCCCACATCGCCCTCGCGCACCCCGCGCCGCTTCTCCATGGCCAGCGACACGGAGAGCGCCCTCGAGGGCAAGCTCAAGCATGACATCAAGGCCCAACAGGGCGTCCAGCACTGGGTCATGCCTTCAGATGTCAACGGCCTCAAATTTGCCAGCCCCCGCGCCAGCCCCCGCACCAGGGCCATTGACCCCGCCGACGCACTCGGCCTGGCCACTGACGCTACCCTGTTCGAAGAGCCCGTCCTCTATTCGCTGGATCGAATAAAGGAAGACACGCACAACCCCGACTACTTTGCCTACGACCACCTGCAAAAGTCGCCTTCGCTCAAGGACGACTGTGACGAGCCTGTCCATGTGCACAAGCGCCGCCCTTCGCACCTCCGCACCCCTTCCACCCCCACCATCGAGTCGCGCCTTGCCAGTGCACAAAAAGCCTCGCGCTCCCTGCCCCTCCGTGCAAAGACAAACGAGGGGCTCCTGCAGCTGCAAGCAAACACGTCCAAGCCCCAGCGCTCCGCAAACACACACCAGCGCAGAATCTCGCTCGGCCTCCCCATCAAGGCTGCCAATACCCCCGGCGAAACCTCCCGCCTCTCGAGCCCAACAAACACTCGTTCCCTCCACCCAGCCACACCAAAACGCCTGCCAAAAAAGACAGGCACCGCAACAGCCATCCAGCAGGAGCGCGATCTAGAATACAAGCACCGCCACACCTTCATCGGCACCGCCTCGCTCGATGATTTCCTAGAAGTCCTCGACGTCTCGCCCGACCACATCACAAACAAGGACGCAATCATAAGAGCCTTTATCCTGCTAGCCTCCAGCGAGCGATTGCTTGCTCGCCAAGCATCGCTCAAGCCCGATGGATGGAGCGTCATTGCCCGCACCTCTGCCGAAACCGTAAACAGCGACTACGTCGAACAAGCACATGCCAAGCTCGGCTCCATTGTCCTCCGCCAATTCCTCGACCTCATCACCTTCAACGAAGACGAAGAAGCAAACGCTATGAGCGTCGTCGAAGCCTTCACTGCCGCAAGCCACTTGGACACACAAGCCAGCAAGGCTTCAGGGAGTAAGGCCAAAGCCTTTCGTAAATGGATGGTAAAAGCGCTACCCCACTAGGGTCACTGCTTTTATTTTTCTTACTTGTTTTCATTTTCAGTACATCTCTCTACCCTTCTCATGATAATGCGACACGATGATGCCGAATGTCTTATGTTATTACTACATAGCCCTTCCCCTTCCCTTCTCCCATCCAAATTTCTACTTTTTCTTTCCTCACCCCCCATCCCGCTCAGCCCATTAGATTAGTAACCCCTTCTCCTAAAACCTCCTCTCCGACATTAGGATAGTCCCCGCCACTCACACCTTGTTTTCAAGGCGCGGCTACCGAAAAGAATAGATCCACTTCGAAGCCAAACACTACCCTTCTCAAACACGTCCACACCCGTCTTGTAGTTTCCGATTACAGATACCCCGATAACATTGTTATATTACCACAGAATCTAAATGTATATTTCGCCATTTCTTCGCCGCCGTTAACCTTGATCGTGCCTCTGACAGTTTTGTAGTTTCACTATCGGCATCTCGACGCTCCCTTCTGCGCCCTCTCCTCGACGACGTATGCGAAACCGTAACGCTGTATTCAGACGCTGCCATTGACGAGTCCCCTGTCCTACCCCTACGCTTCACCCCAGACTTTAGCACAAGTCCTTCGCCCCAAGCCGAATTCTTTTGATTATCCTCTGTGACCCTGCATTCGATCTACGGAGAGATATAGTAACAAGTGTCTGATCCAATGCTTCTCTGGTTACCCTCCATACTGAGCAAGCATAGCGTCAACCTCAAGAATGGGAGCTGTGGAAAGTATCCACTTGTACTTCAAAAATAGTGTACAATGTGTATGGGAAATGGAAGTGACTGGTGCACTCGAACTTCGCTGATTGACAAGTGATGATATGACGCGGCAACTGAGCCTTGAGAAAGACTAGCGTCGGCACTACGGAAGTGTCTACTGTTAAAGAGTCGTCAGTTACTATCTAGCCTTGCCCAAGCGACTAGGTCGAACCCCCCTCCCATGGACTTGGAATGTTTCGTTTTATAGCAGCATAGTGTTCTCCATCTCTGGAAAAGCAAGTTGTTTTCACAGAGGAATCAAATTGATCAATCTCATGTAAAGTCTGTTGCAGCACCCGTTCTTGATTGACGTCATATCCTCGAGCAAAAGTGATCTTTTCCAAGCATGACCATAGTCCACATTACTGATGCCAAGTACTTGTGTATGTATCTACGTCCTTGTTCCAGACCCGGACCAACACGTTCGAGAACCCCCAACCCTCGGGGCAAATGCATGGGGCGTCAAGCGTTGACGGCTTGGAAACACAACCCCACATGGTCGCTTTTTACACTAGAAACAGATTATAGAAAATCATTTCTGTTCTATAGTCTCCTATAATATGTATCAAATCAATACATGCATGCCTTCTCTAGCTCTACATGTTGCGCAGGGAAATGCCCATACCAGTCTGACAGTAGTATGCAGTCTCAACACCCAGACAACACACTGCTTCAGCAGTGCAAACCGAATAGCCACAACCTGCACCACAAGAGTTATTGGCTCTGCGTCACTCTGTGGCGCTAAAACAGACGTGTTGGGCGATCCTCTAACCTTGGGGCAGCCATTGCAAACTGGGACTGGCTAGTCGCGTCGTTTGCTTGTTCCAAGAAGCTTGGAGCCGTCATGGTACCATGGGCAGATAGTTGACCCAGAGCTATATGCATCTTGTAGCGCTATCAATGGCAGTATGCAAAACAAGATTGGAGATCCGGAAGAGAGATGCCATGCCATGCCCCGCTCCTCGTCAAGGTAACTAGTCCGGTTCTTGGTCTTCGTCATCGCGTTCACACTAAGTTGTGCGGTCAGAGACAACTATAAATATGTCCAGATTATGGACTGACTATGAATCTGATTCTGCTGCAAACGAATCTCAGCGAACATTCACTTTAAAGTCAAAAAAAACTAGATACATACCTCTCTTACTGTATCCACATTTACAACAACATATACCACACAATGCCATCCAGCACCGTTCGTACCCTCCTCCTGTCCATCGCTCATTCTCTCTGGCCTCACCGCTGACGTTGCCCAAAGAGAAACATTTTACTCTACTTCCTTGCTATTTGGCTACCCTTCCTGCCCGTTTTCATGCTGCGTGGCTGCGGTGCAGACGTCCTGATTAACATCGCGTTGGACCTGCTCGGATGGATCCCAGGTGTAATTCATGCATGGTACATCATTAGTCAGAGCGAGAAGCGGGAGTATGTTAGTGTTGACCCCGGATATGGAAGGGGATATGGTTACCGGGAGAAGATGATGAGGTATTAGAGGAAGATGGTGGGAATCTGGCCAAGTTTGAAGAGAAAGATGGAGAAGGGCGATGTTTTTCAAATCAACAGTACGCACATAGACTACGGGGATGATACTCTAAAAACCTGTGCAAGGCATTCTAGCAGTTTAGGAAGTGCTTTGCTACGAAGATTAAGGAGATTGGTCGAGCAGCAATACAAGATACTTGAAAGACATGACTAAGTCAAGACCCCAGTTTTACTCAATCTCCACCCATCGACGAAAAGCTACATGTGCCATGTATTTAGGACAGCTTGGCAAAAAGCCTCATGGACCTTATGCGCTGCTCGCCGGTTTTCGTGGGGGCATTACCGGGGGGTTATTCAACCCTTGAACTCGCCATGTTTAGTTTTCGTACAGTAAGGTGCATATCAATATCAACTCCCAGTCGTCAGATGAACCCAGGTGAACGGAGACAGCAAAAAAAGATAGTTATAAGCCGTGAAATAGTTCAATATATTCATAGAGAAAAGAAGGGTGGTTAACAGTTTCCTTGACCAAAGTCGACAACGTCTGTTACCCTATTTACATAATCACGGTCCCGCTTCTGGTTTAGCAGCTGCCCGCACCGTTCGGGGTACCGCTCTTGTACGCACCCGCACTGTCTCCAAGGCACTGGGCTACAACATGTTAGTCTCGCGCCACTAGAAATTTTAGAGCAGCCAACTTACCAACAGTGACCAACTTGAGGTTGTTGTTCTTGGCCCAGTTGATCAACCAGGGCGTCAATGTGTTAACGGTAGAAGAGTAGGCTAGCAAGTTTGTTAGCATATGTTCTTTCTCTTTTTTTTCTTTTCTAAAAGAATCTCAGAATGGAAGACTCACTCTCGTGCATGAGGGTAATGTGGCCGTTGCCACCCGCACCCGCCTGCTGGAACTTCTGCTGGCTCTGCTGGGGGGTCTTGCCGTTCCAGTCTTCACTGTCGACATCGGCCGTGATGACACGGTAGCCCAGGTTGCGCATGGTTGGCAACACATTGCCACCTGTGGCGAGGTAAGGGGGTCGCATATATGTGGGCTTGACGCCAATAATATTGACGAGGGCCTGCTCAAGACGCGACATCTGGCTGGTCAAATCGTTTGAAGATAGCGAGCCAAAGTTCTGCGGGTGTGTCCATGTGTGAGAGGCGATTTGGTGGCCCGACTTGTATGCGTTTTGGAGTGCGTTTCTTTGGTTGTAGATACAGCCGTACAGTGTGCCCGTGACAAAGAAGGTTGCCTTGGCACCGCCTGCATTCAAAGTGTTGACAAGTTGCTGGGTTAGCTGCGATGGACCATCATCGTAGGCGAGGGCAATTTGGCCAGGTGCTACGCATTTAGTGATGACCTTTGGATATGTTAACTTGGATGCAAGGGCAGGGTGTCACGTCAAGAAACGCAAGCGGATCTGCATACCTGTCCTGCAGCCGGCCCACTCTGCCTAATCACGTTCAGAGGATCAGGAATAGGTGTTGCAACAGCAACGGTAGCCAAGGCCGCGACGAGAAGAGACTTGAGACCCATGTTTCCTAGTGTTTTCCTGATGTTCAAAGTTGAGTTGCTTGGAAGATGATGAGGATTCAATGTGTCCTACAGCTACCATATACTTAAGTACAAGAGCCAAGATTGCTCTCCGGTACTAAATGTCATGTCAGAGAAGCTTGGAATCTCTTGGCTCGTTTATGGCAAACAATGCCGTCCGACCGGGCTATCGGAAGCGGCTGTGACCCCTGATCGGGTGCATCCGCGTGATTCTCGAAACACAAGTGGCCCAAATAGATCCGGGGTGAATGACCTTGAAACGATCGCCTCCTGGTCTACAACTGAATTTACTTGACTTGAGCAGAGTGGGCTGGAGAGAATATCACGATTCTAGTGCCCTTTCAGTCCGCCATGCGAGCAGCAAGACTTTGCCCATCAACACATATTACACCTGGTTCGAATATGATGCCAGATGAAAATCTCCGCGATATGTTTCATGCAATTGCCGCCGGCTAATGAGACCCCCGCAAGGAGAGGCTTGGGTCTGCGCAATGTGGAGCTCGTGTAATTGAACATCAAATTGGTAGCATACTAGATACGCCACGATCGTAATTGTGCAAGTTCTGGAATGTTGTTGCAACATTCTATTAATGTTAGCTTGTAGACCCGCATGTGGCTGGTCTCAATTTGAAACTTGATTTCCCCCCACCTTTGCCGACTGCTATAGTATATGTAAAGCATAGTAATTTAAACACAACCCATTGGGCCGAGGTCGATTTGCAATTTTCGCCCAGGTGACGCATGATTTTATGAGCAATAACCCCACCGGTACTGTTTTCACTTGCCAAGCATAATGTTTATCCGCATCTATTATGCCCTCGGATTCTATAATGGGTATTCTGTTCGTAGACTACACCAAATACATCTTAGCCTTGCAGTAGAGGACTTCGAAAATATGACCTAGTCACATCTACACAGTCATGGCTGGTGGTAGCGCTAGAGTGAACATCCTTCTCTATTCATATGCATCGATAGTCGCTGGACACAATTGTAGTAATTGTGAGATACCGAAGCAATCCATAGAAAATGCTGAGCTGGGAGAAACATATCAATTTATAATACGAGGACATGTAAAGCTAGTAGGCGTCTATGACAATTGGGGCTGTTGGAAAATAGAACCGAAAAACATCAAACTAGGTTTTATCCGGAACGAACCCGTTTCACCTGAGAGCTGGCATTGCGTACAGTTTACTACCAAATTAAAAACTCCTCCTGTCGCTCCCGACATCAATCTTCATCCGCTGAACAGCGATGATAGGATTGAACCTTCGTCTGCCTCTCAGCCATACCTTGGGGCAAGTTGCGCCATTTGTTGGTCAACTCAAGTGCAGTGCTTTTCATTGCCACCAATAGCACTAGCATCGCAACCATCAGGGTAGAAGAAACTGGCTAGTGCAATGATGATGTATGAAGCGATGAGTAAACTGCCCTCGAGATAATTGCTTCGCCCGTCCAGTACCAAGAAGTTTACAACCAGGACAGTAACGAACAAGGCAACAGTTTCAAAGATATTGAAGTACAACGTCATCTCTTTGCCCATCATCCAGCCAAGGATGACGATGACGGGCGTGATGAAGATTGCAATTTGAATCGACGAGCCGACCGCGATACCGATGGAAAGATCCATCTTATTCTTCATGGCCACCGTGACAGCTGTAACGTGCTCTGCTGCATTACCAACGATGGGGAGAATGATGAGACCAATGAAAGCTTGACTAATGCCAGAAGATTCCACCATTGGCTCTATAGCACCACTCATAAAGTCGGCACACACAGCGACAAGACCAGTACTGATCAAGAGCATGAAAATGGCCGCTTTAATGGACATGTCGGGCACCTCGTCAACTTCGTCATCCTCGTTCAACGCCAAGGCAGTTTGAGGTGAGACAGCGGGGCGATTGGCTGCGTTAGCGTAGGGCGCCGTTCGGCCAATCTGATCCGGAAGAGATCTGGAACGGCGAAGAGGTGTGCGCAGAACGGTGTTGTCACGAGGCGCCGCCATGCGAATGTTCGGAGCAGGGCCGCCAAGTGGGGCTAGATTCTGAGGATTCGAGAAGACATTGTTGGAAAGCAGGGAGGGAAGTGCAGGACGGTTGTACCTGCGCGGGTTGGTCGCAGCAGCCGTATTTTGCTGAGTGTCTTGGGCAAAGGTGACCTTGGGTGCAGGCTCGTTTGGCGCAACCTCTTTCTCGGGAATGGTACTGACCTTGTTGCGGTCACGGCGGTCCTTCTTGTGCTTTTTGTGTCTGCGTTTCCCCTTCATAATCGATTGCGAGGTATGCGAGGCAGCCTCAAAGTCACGAACGACTGGGGCATACTGATCGTTGTCCGCTTCATCGCCACTCATAATGTCGACCGAATGCCGGCGAGAAGTTCCGAACATGCTAGCGTTAGAATTGAAGACGCTGTTACTCCTCTCCCTCTCAGCCTCCAAAGGACTCTGATTGAGTTCGCCATCTGGCGAGCTCATAGCAGAAAGGGCACTCCCATCTTTGGAGCTAGCACTGGACTTGCGACGAAGTCTCTTGACCATGCGCTTCGCCTTCTTCTTCATTGTTCCATCAGAACGCGACGAGCCATCACTGTCACTGCTGCTGGAGCTGGACGAGGAGTCTGAGCTGGACGAGTCAAAAGCACCAGCAAGAACACCGGGATGGGACTCTTCATCGATGATGTGCTGCGGAGTGCTGGCATAGAGATATCTATGGCTCTTCAGCTGAAATAGAAGATAGAGACCATAGACGAGCAACAAAATGACACTCGTGCCACGACTGACGGATAGAGTCTCGTGATCGGCAATGGCATTGTCCTCAAAGGCTGCATGGAAGGCAGTAGGGAGCAGAAGACTCATAACGGCCAATGCAAGCATGACTCCGCTCATTTGAGTGACAGTATTGTTGTAGACTTGTTCTTGGTACTTGAGGCCACCCAACAAAAAGGCCATACCAAGGATAAGGAGTAGGTTCGCAAGGATAGATCCAAGCAGCGAGGCCTGTACCACCTCTATCTGGTTAGAGGCAAGCAGAATGATGAAGAGAATCAGCTCAACGGCGTTGCCGAAAGACACGTTTAGCAGTGCGCCAAGCGCGTCTCCAACGCGGGCGGCGACAACTTCGGTTGCATGCGCGAGCAAGCCAGCAAGTGGAATAATGGCAATGGCGTTCATGGAGAAGACAATCTCGGACTGCAGGTCGACGAGCTTGACGGCGATGCCAACCGGCACAAAGACTAGCAAGACATTGATCCAGCTATGTGTGACAGCATGCTTGGTGTGGGTGATGAATCGGAGGGTTCCATTCTTGACCCGCGTGAGTGAGTAGAACGGACGCTTCCCGGATTCTATGGTGGAAGATGCATTTCCATCGCTCGTGGTATTTGCACTGCCATTGCTGGAGCCTGTGGTCTTGAGATCAGGGGCAGCGCGCTTCTCATTGCTGTTGTTGTTGTCGTCGTCGGCCTGGGCGCCGTCTAAGCCTGGATGGGCGGTCGGGTGGGGGTTGTGGGTCGGGAGAACGTGGCTTGGAGTGACTGGCTTACGTCCCAAGCCAAGTGCAGACGCTGCCTTGGACTTGAAGCTGCGTATAGAAGGGTCGTCGGGTTCTCCCATCGGTTTTGGTGTGAGGATATGTGAGGGGGGAAGGAGTACAAGTAAAATGTACTCGATGGTTGCTGGCCAGAGCAAGTGGCCAAGGAAGTGAAGCGGCAGCCGGGGCCTTATCTATGCGCCGCGGTAAGCTTAGCCGGCTTGGTCTGTGACACGGGCGCCTGATCCCAGCGAATGACGTCGGTCTTTCGCCTCACGCTTCTTCCCCGGTACAGCCTCAGTGGCGCTGACGCATGTGTGTATTTCTTTTCTGCGGGTGCATTGCTTGTTTGAAGACAGAAGCCAGAAGCCACCCTTGGAAACTTTTTGAGCTTCTCTTCGTCATGGATTGCTCGAATCCTACATCCTTAAAGGGGTTTAATTTGTTCATTTCGAAAATTCCTTGTTATTCTTTACTATGCCTGGGATGGGTGATTATGATTCGTTGCATAGAAGCAGAATAAGTAGAGAGAAAGACTTGTTACGCGTTGCTTCTATGAGTCGGTGAACTTTTTTGAATCTGAGAATTGCAAAATCTTATAATACGGGTCGAGCAATGTCCCACTAAAAGCTTTGTAATCTTGTCTAGCACTATCTAACGCCATGTAGCGTGTTCATCATGCGTAATTCAGCATGTTCTTAGACCAGACAAGACGACTGGCTATACCGTTAAGACACCCTCAAAGATTCCTGGCCTCCCTGACCCTCTGACCTCTCAGTCACTGATGGAGTTTTCTTAGGAGCAAACATTGCCCTCCCAGCTCTCTTCAAGCCAAGTACGTAAGGATTCGGGCGTGGTGAAATAGTCGTAAGAATCGGTACCGGTGCGTCTAGCTCAAGCTTAACACCTTCACTGCCATCCTCAACACTGTTGCGGCTCTCGGCCAAAGTGAGCCGTTGTAACTCGACTTCGGAGTCATTTGTAGCAGCCAGACCTGGTGATATGGATCTGGTCACCGAGCTTTTGCGACGCGGGCTTTTCTTAATAAGACTAATCAAGCCCCCCATATTCTGTAAAGCAGTGATATCTTTCTTGCTCACTGGACTAATGGCTAGAAGGACGACTTGGTCATTTAGGCTTCCGATGCGGGCTATAGCCATCGCATCTAGTTGACCTAACCATGAATACTATAACACTAGGAGAACTGTAGATCAAACGTCCCGTTAGATCGTTCTCCCTAAAATGGGAGACTTCGGGAGAAAACAAAGTAAGCATGCTTCGATTCGCGAAGAACACGGATGTATTTAGCAGTTGTTCAAAGTTGTTGAAAGTTCGATATCAGCTTAGATTCACGCCACGAAAGCGAGTGTTACAAGTAACAAGAAGGATTCTCTCCTTGACAAATGACGAGATGGCTGAAGGCCTATGGACGTCCACGTCAGAAGGTAATGATCATCGCGGGGCTAGGTCACGTGATGTGCCATCCCGCCAAGGGCAACCATCCGAGGGATGGCAGGACGCCTTGGGATGGCAGCCATCCCCAACATCACAACTATCCCAGGGATGGCAGGGAAGTAAGGGATGGCAGGACCAAAGGCAACGGATATAAGAATGGGTTAGATTTCATTATTACATTCGTTGTGGTTAACTTAAATTGTACTTTCTTACTAGTATCTTTACTTAATAAGATTGTTATAAGTTAGTCTATTAAATAGATTAGTCTTATTAAACCCTTCTTAAGTACGCTAACTCCACTATATCGCCAGATAAGCCTTACGGAATACTAACGTAATACTTACCTGCCTTAGTGCGGACTAGGATAGAGAAGTATAGACCCTTACCCTATGTAATACTTTAACTACCTACGGATTTAGTGGAAGGAGGATTAACCAGCAGCGTCCGAATAAGATTGAACTATGTTAGGAAATTCAAGCGAATATGTTCACATCCTAGGCTCGGCGCCTAAGGGAGATGTTAATATGACTAGTAGTACCTAAGGGGGAAATAACGAGCCGGCTGTTACAAGTAACAAGAAGAATTCTCTCCTTGACAAGTGACGAGATGGCTGAAGGCCTATGGACGTCCACGCCAGAAGGTAATGATCATCGCGGGGCGAGGATCACGTGATTGACATCACGCCAAGACGACCGTCAGACGCTAGTATGTGATGGCAGCAATCCTTTGATGGCAGCCATCAGGACATCAGGCCAAGCAACGGAAAAGTCGTGATGGCAGTGATGGCAGGACTGGAAGCAATGAGGATATAAGGATGGATGGATTTCATTATTACTCTCGTTGTGGTCAACTCAAATTGTACTTTCTTACTAGTATCCTTACTTAACAAGATTGTCACAAGTTAGTCTATCAAATAGATTAGTCTTGTTAAACCCTCCTTAAGCACGCCAACTCCACTGCATCGCCAGACAAGCCTCACGGAACACTAACGTAATACTCACCTGCCTTAGTGCGGACTAGGATAGAGAAGTATAGACCCTTACCCCGTGTAACACTTTGACCACCCACGGATCCAGTGGAAGGAGGATTAACTAGCAGCGTCCGAATAAGATTGAACTATGTTAGGAAATTCAAGCGAATATGTTCACATCCCAGGCTCGGCGCCTGAGGGAGATGTTAACATGACTGGTAGTACCTAAGGGGGAAATAACGAGCTGGCGGCAGGGAGCCCCGAGTACGAACTCGTCAATCTTAGACGCGAGAGCCAAGCCTAAGCAAGGCAGATGGCTGAGTTGCAGAATACGATTAACTAACTTATGGGTCAACTAATGGCCACCCTGAACGAGAAACCACTTAAGAAGCCGAAAATGGCAACCCTAGAAAAGTACGATGGAAGTCGCACCGAGTTGCGGACATTCCTTACTAACATCGACTTGTATTGTGAATTTAACGAGGTACCTAACGACTAGGAGAAAATCCTCATGGCTAGCACCCATATGAAAGGACGAGCGTCAAGCTGGATGCAGCTATACGTGGAGGACTATCTGTCAGACATCGAAAAAAGAGGAACAAAGGACGAGACGCGTGCCTTGTTCACTAGTTGGGCCGAGTTCAAGAAAGAGATAGGACACATCTTTGGGGAAGTGGATGCTTAGAACTAGGCAGAGAAAGCGATAACTCGCCTGAAGCAGACCAGTTTAGTATTAGTGTACACAGCCGAGTTCAAGCAGCTACAGGCACGAATCGACTAGGACGACGCAGCACTTCGAACGGTGTTCGAAGTAGGTCTGAAGGAAAATGTTAAAGACGGACTTGTACATTACGATAAACTAAATACGCTTTATGCGCTGATCGAGTTAGCGACACGCATTGATAATAGGCTGTGGGAAAGAAACTAATAAAAGAAATAATTTCAACCCACGGTGGCCAACACAAGGAAGCAGCGTAGCCGGTTTGATAAAGATGGCGACACTATTATGACCGGTAAGGTATAAGATAAGTCTAAGGATAAGAATAGAAAACCCTGAGGACAGTATAATGACGGACTCTCCACGGAAGAACGTAAGAAGCGTTATGATAGTAAGGCATGTCTCCGATGCGGTGAAGTAGGACACTTCCGCAGAGATTGCCCAAAAAACGAAGTTAGATAAGGAGCGGTCAAGATTGGGATGATTCGGATACCAACACTATACCTAACTGAGGAGCTAGATGAAACCCTCAGCGACCTAGACCTGTATGAAGAAGCAAGATAAGCCACTGACGAGGCGTTTGAGCTAGTATAAGAGGCAATAGGACTCCAAGACTTTAAGTGGGACGCACTACTACTAATGGATTGGCAGATTGAAGGGGCCGAAGTACTACGCCGCCTAAGAAATTAATAGTGCTGGATCTGCGGACTAACTACGCACTAAGCTAACGATTGCGACTGTAATGGAAGAGTCATAATCTTGGGACCCCGAGCAGATGAGATTGCCTGCAGGGCTGCCCAGGAATAACCTAGGTTTAAGGAACCTGATGACGAGGAGACACCTCGGACGTTCAAGGAGCGGATGGAGTAATACGAGCGCCTATGTTGGGTCGACTGCCTAAGACAGTGTGATTACTACTTGAGGAAGCGAGAAGAAACTAGAGACAACGAGGACGATTGCTGCTATACCAATTTATAGCATAACGAGTGTCGCGTACAGCATTGCCACATGTACTAGCCCGGAGAAAAGGAAGCTTACGAAGAGTTGTGCTGGATCAAGTGCACGATTAATTGCTAATTCTATAAGGAACAACGACGGAAAGCTAGAAGGGTAGACGATTACTATCACAGCACGATTTCCGCGGAAGAATGTATAGTAAAAAACTGCAGAATGCATAGGGCCTAAGTACGGGAAACGCCAGTAGAGCATAATAAACTCCTATGGACGCATTGTAGGAAAGGATGCGCTATGCACTGATAACAGTTCGAGGATGCTTGATAGGTAGGCAACCACTACTATAGTACTCTATTAGCGAACATTTATGAGGCAAAGGATTGCCTGATTTATAAGAGCAGGAAGCCGGAACTAAGGAAGAGGACCACGCAACGAAAGGTGCCCTATGAGAATATCTATTGGAGCTTCTGCTACAACGACTAGTATACGATACACTATTCTGCTAAGGTAGGCGAAGGCTACTTCCTAAAGAAGAAGGGAAGCAGACAGTTAAAAAACTAGGATGCTACTAGGGACAGGGTCACGCTGGCAAAGGCAGTCCTAAAACGACCCTTAGACAAGTACAGGAAGAAGGAGCAAAAGAATTACAATTGAAAGCCACAGTACTTATAGACGGACATGAGGTGTTAGCGCTTATAGATAGTGGGGCCGCACGAACCGTCATATCGCCACGAGTAGTGGAAGGAAACAATATACCCTATCGGAATAAGAAGGTACCGATGCGAGTGGTATTAGCCGACGATAGTCCCACGACATACGGGAACGGCTGGATCTGACTTGAGACCGAGGCAGTAACGTTACGCCTGGCTGGTTAAGAAAGCCGAGAAAAGATTAGCATTATGGATCTTGGAGAGACCGAGATGATAATTGGCTACGATTGGTTGTTGAAGCACAACCCTGCTATCGATTGGTAAAAGAAGACATTACTTAGCTGAGAGCCTGTGCATAAGGTTGCTAGAGTACGATACGAGATACGCCCGACGAATTAGCGCGCAACCTAGGACGGGAGATTCGGCATAATCTTACCGCATAAGATCGCGAGAATCTATGCGAAGGACCCTTAGAGCGTAGGAGTCATTTGGATACGGTAGATCGTGACTATGAAGGAAGGATTAGTACTATAGTTGGCGATTCCAACAGAATACTAAACGGACGAGTTCAGAGAACTGTTCGAGGAAAATGAGGCAATGGACCTAGTAGACCATTAGGATTGGGATCACGAGATTATCCTTGATGAGGGAGCTAAGTTGAGCCTAGGACTAATGTACCCTATAGCGCCCGAGCACGATACTGAGCTGCGGGATTATATCTAAAAGAACTTAAAAAAGGGATTTATCTGACCGGGATCAGGCCTGATGGCCTCACCTATCTTATTTATAAAGAAATCTAACGGGAAGTGGCGACTATGTGTCGACTTTAGAAGGTTGAACAGTGTAACTCGGAAGAACTAATATCCCTTACCACTCATTACAGAGCTTATGGATCGACTCTAGGGAGCTAAGTGGTTTACAAAGTTCGATGTTTAGGAAGGATTTTACCGAATCAGGATTAAAGAAGGTCACGAATGGATGATAGTGTTTAAAACGAAGTACGGACTCTTTAAGTATACGGCTATGCCGTTCGGATTAACGAATGCGCCGGCAACCTTTTAATTAGTCATTAACAACGCTCTCCACGAGTACCTCGGAATCTTTGTTACCGCGTATCTAGACGACGTACTAGTGTACTCCAGCGGCATACGCGAAGAATATGTCGAGCATGTTAAGAAGGTCTTACGGAAGCTTAAGGAATACAAGCTATACCTTCAACCAGGAAAGTGTGAATTCCACACATAGGAAACGGAATTCCTTAGATTTATCATATTAACCGAAGGCGTGAAAATGAACCCAAAGAAGATACAGACTGTATAGGAATGGCCAAAACCTAAAATACTTAAGGATATTCAGTCCTTTTTAGGATTTGCGAATTATTATCGAAAGTTTATTAGAGATTACTTAAAGATTACAGCACCCCTTACGGAAGTAACAAAGAGGGAAGTAGGTTTTAAATAGGAATAGGAACATTAAGAGGCTTTCGATCGAATTAAGCAGATATTCCTGGAGGCGCTAGTACTCGAGATGTACAGCCCTCAACGACCTACTAGAGTCGAGACCGACGCGTCTGACTATGCACTCGGAGCTGTATTGTTACAGCAGTGCCTAGATGGAAAATAGAGACCAGTGTTCTACTATTCACGAAAGTTCTCTAGAGCAGAACTTAACTACGATGTTTACGATAAGGAACTACTTAGAGTAGTCGATGCCTTTAAATAATGGGAAGTGTACCTACTAGGACTCCCCGAACAGATCGAGGTTTTTACCGATTACTAGAACCTGACGAGTTTTATGACAACGAAAAAACTTAACCGACGACAAGTGCGATGGGTAGAGATGCTAGCCCAGTTCGACTTTAAGATCACGCACCGCGCAGGAACACTTAATAGAGTAGCAGACGCTTTAAGTAGAAGATCTAATTTGCGCGAAGAGGGTTATAAAGAACCACATGACGCCTTACTTAAGACAATGCCTAATAGCAGTCTAAAGTACAACCAGCTAGAACTAGCTAAGGTAGCTAAGGTGGCTAAGCAGGTAGAAACGCTACAACAGTAATGGTAGCAGCGAGCAGCCAGCTGGCAGTTCGAGCCCGACGAAGCAGGCTCTGACGAACTATTAAACGATGAACGAGAGTACTGAGATATAATTTTAAAGAATCGAATATATGTACCTCCACGCATAAGATTGAGTCTTATACAGAAACTGTATAAGTCCTAGAAATACGGACACGCAGGGATTGAAGAAATAGTTAGACGACTAGCTAAGGTATTTGCGATACTACGCTTGCGAGCGAAGGTGCAGGAAGCACTAGGCAACTGTTTGGCATGTCACTAGAACAAGCCTAAGAGACATAAGCCCTACGGCCTGTTATAACCCCTACAGCCACCATCTAGACTATAGACAAGTGTAATGATAGACTTCATAGTGAAGCTCCCGAAATCGTTAGAACTAGGATCAGCTCGATTTTGCGACACAATACTAGTAATCGTGGACCGATTAACTAAGGCAGCAAAGTTTATGCCTACGGAAGAGACTATTACAGCAGATAAATACGCGTACGAAGTCACTAAAGCACTAGTGTTAGAGCATGGGATACCTAAAGAGTTTATCACCGATCGTAATAAACTATTTACGTCTAAATACTAGAGTATATTCCTAGCGAAGTTAGGTGTTAAGAAGAAGCTTTTAATAAGCTTTTATCCAGAAACAGACGGCCAGACGGAAAGAACAAACTAGATATTAGAGTAGTACTTACGGATGTACGCTAACAAATTGTAGGATAACTAGGTAGAGTTGCTACTAACAGCGTAATTAGTCTATAATAGCACGAAATCCGCAACAACGAAGCACTCGCCGCACTACGCGAACTACGGATATAAGCCGGTTGCTTATTGAGACCTAAGGGACATCGAAAGTATCGCGGTAGGAGCAGACGATAAAGCGAAGCTTATGTAAGAACTGCACGAAGAATTAAGTAAGAATATAGCTTAATAAAACCTTACGATATCTAAAGCAGCGAATAAACTAAGGATTAAGGGACTAATCTTTAAGAAGGGGGATAAAGTTTTCTTGTCACGACAAAACCTGAAAACTAAACGACTATGTAGAAAATTAGACAACCTCCGAATAGAACCGTTCGAAATCCTAGAGGAAATAGGAAAAGTAAACTATAAGTTAAAACTCCTATAAGGCATACGGATCCACCCTATCTTTTATAAGAAACTTCTGGAACCAGCACCTCTAGATGCCGAGCTAGCAACGGATATAGAGCTCAAAGACGACGAGTACGAGGTTGAGGAAATTAAGAACCTACGGAAAATCGGTAGTTAGTGGAAGTACTTGGTTAAGTGGCAAGAATAGCCCGAGAGCTATAACACTTGGGAACCTGAAGGAAACCTGACGAACTGTAAGTCACTAGTACGTGAATACCACCGGAAGCACCCGGAGAAGCGAGGGGCAACCCCTTAGGGAAAAGGAAGGAATAATTAAAGGAAGGATTGAAGGAGTTAGCCTGTAACCAGTCCAGATTAGCCGATGGTTCAGATAGCGGTGGTTCGACAATAGGAAGGCCCGTACTAGGGGCAGAGTTCCCCTCGGCCTGCTCTTTCGCCCGATCCTAAAGATTTAAGATGGCAAGATCCCGATCAGCAAACTCTTGCTCTCGTGCCTCGGTCTCCAGAAGCTCGCGACGAAGACGAGAAGTTTCTGCAGCCGCACGAGAGGCCTTAGCAGCGGCTAGAGCCTGACGCTCCTCAGCACGCGTAATCTCTAATCGTTTTTTGCGCTTTTCGGCTTGAACCTTATCCCACTCCTCCTCAGACACGAAAAGACTGCACGCAGCAGTAATAGAAATACAGCCAGCATAACGCCTAGTGGCAGTATCTACGAAACAACGAAGGTTCTTCTCTTCACAGCGCTTATAACGAAAGGTTATTTCGTTCCCCTGCTCTTTTACACGGTCAGCACGAGCGCGACGCTCGGAAGTTGAATCCTGGGCACGAACACGGCGAGAAGATTGGACCTTGGGTATAGTTAGGAAGGCTACGAGGCAGAGACGGCTATAACGAGTGGACGGGCTCTGACCTTATATGCAGCCGGCGTCTCAACACGCGGCACGGGGAAACGATATTCTAGGGTATCGGGACGATAGCCCTAAGAGGGGAGGTAATGTTATAAGTAACAAGAAGAATTCTCTCCTTAACAAGTGACGAGATGGCTGAAGGCCTATGGACGTCCACGCCAGAAGGTAATGATCATCGCGGGGCGAGGATCACGTGATTAACATTACGCCAAGACGACCGTCAGACGCTAGTATGTGATGGCAGCAATCCTTTGATGGTAGCTATCAGGACATCAGGCCAAGCAACGGAAAAGTCGTGATGGCAGTGATAGCAGGACTAGAAGCAATGAGGATATAAGGATGGATGGATTTCATTATTACTCTCGTTGTGGTTAACTTAAATTGTACTTTCTTACTAGTATCCTTACTTAACAAGATTGTCACAAGTTAGTCTATTAAATAGATTAGTCTTGTCAAACCCTCCTTAAGCACGCTAACTCCACTGCATCGCCAGACAAGCCTCACGGAACACTAACGTAATACTCACCTGCCTTAGTGCGGACTAGGATAGAGAAGTATAGACCCTTACCCCGTGTAACACCGGCGGCAGGGAGCCCTAAGTACGAACTCGTTAATCTTAGACGCGAGAGCTAAGCCTAAGTAAGACAGATAGCTAAGTTGCAGAATACGATTAACTAACTTATAGGTTAACTAATGGCCACTCTAAACGAGAAACTACTTAAGAAGCCGAAAATAGTAACCTTAGAAAAGTATAATAGAAGTCGCACTAAGTTGCGGATATTTCTTACTAATATTAACTTGTATTATAAATTTAACGAAGTACCTAACGACTAGAAAAAGATTCTTATAGCTAGCACCTATATAAAGGGACGAGCGTTAAGCTGGATATAGCTATACGTGGAGGACTACCTATTAGATATTAAAAAAAGAGGAATAAAGGATAAGACGCGTACCTTATTTACTAGTTGGGCCGAGTTTAAGAAAGAGATAGGATATATCTTTAGGGAAGTAGATGCTTAGAACTAGATAGAGAAAGCGATAACTCGCCTAAAGCAGACTAGTTTAGTATCAGCGTATATAGCTGAGTTCAAGCAGCTATAGGCATAAATTAACTAGGACGACGCAGCACTTCGAACGGTGTTTAAAGCAGGTCTAAAGGAAAATATTAAAGACGGACTTATACATTACGACAAACTAAACACGCTTTATGCGCTAATTAAGTTAGCGACACGCATTAATAATAGACTATAGAAAAGAAACTAATAAAGAAAATAATCCTAGCTAGTAATAGCTAATATAAGGAAACAGCGTAGCTAGTTTGATAAAGATAGCGATACTATTATAACTGGTAAGGTATAAGATAAGTCTAAGAATAAGAATAGAAAACCCTAAGAATAGTATAATAATAGACTCTCTACGGAAGAACGCAAGAAGCGTTATAATAGTAAGGTATATCTCTAATGTAGTAAAGTAGAACACTTCTGTAGAGATTACCTAAAAAACGAAGTTAGATAAGAAGTAGTTAAGATTAGGATAATTCGGATATTAACACTATACCTAACTAAGAAGCTAGATAAAACTCTTAGCGACCTAGACCTATATGAAGAAGTAAGATAAGCCACCGACAAGGCCTTTAAGCTAGTATAAGAGGTAATAAGACTCTAAGACTTTAAGTAAGACGCACTACTATTAATGGATTAGCAGATTAAAGGGGCCGAAGTACTACGCCGCTTAAGAAACCAACAGTGCTAGATTTGCGGAACTAATGCACATTAAGCTAATAATTATAATATTAATAGACGAGTTATAATCTTAGGACTCTAAGTAGATAAGATTACCTGCAGGGCTGCCTAGGAACAACCTAGATTTAAGGAACCTAATAACGAGGAGATACCTTAGATGTTTAAGGAATGGATAGAGTAACACGAGCGCCTATATTAGGTCGACTGCCTAAGACAGTGTAATTATCACTTAAGAAAGCGAGAAGAAACTAGAGACAATGAGGATAATTGCTGCTATACTAATTTATAGCATAATGAGTGTCGCGTATAGCATTACTATATGTACTAGCCTAGAGAAAAGGAAGCTCACGAAGAGTTATACTAGATTAAGTATACGATTGATTGCTAATTCTATAAGAAATAGCGACGGAAAGCTAGAAGGGTAGACGACTACTACTATAGCACGATTTCCGCCGAAGAATACATAGCAAAGAACTGTAGAATGCATAGGGCCTAAGTACGGGAAACGCTAGTAAAGCATAGTAAACTCCTATGGACGCATTACAGGAAAGGATGCGCTATGTACTAATAATAGTTTGAGGATGCTTAACAGGTAGACAACTACTACTATAGCACCCTACTAGCGAATATTTATAAGGTAAAGGATTGCCTGATTTATAAGAGTAGGAAGTTAGAACTAAGAAAGAGAACTACGTAACGAAAGATGCCCTATAAGAATATCTATTAGAGCTTCTACTATAATAACTAGTATACGATATACTATTCCGCCAAGGTAGGCGAAGGCTACTTTCTAAAAAAGAAGGGAAGTAGGCAGTTAAAAAACTAGGATGCTACTAGGGATAGGGTCACGCTGGTAAAGGCAGTTCTAAAACGACCTTTAGACAAGTACAGAAAGTGAGAGTAAAAGAATTGTAATTAAAAGCTACAGTACTTATAGATAGATATAAGGTATTAGCGCTTATAGATAGTAGGGTAGCACGAACCGTTATATTGCTATAAGTAGTAGAAAGAAATAATATACCCTATTAGAATAAGAAGGTACTGATGCGAGTAGTATTAGCCGACGATAGTCCTACGATATACGGGAACAGCTAGATCCGACTTAAGACTAAGGTAGTAATATTACGTCTGGCTAGTTAAGAAAGCTAAGAAAAAATTAGTATTATGGATCTTAGAGAGACTAAGATAATAATTAGCTATGATTAGTTATTAAAGTATAACCCTGCTATTAACTAGTAAAAGAAGATATTACTTAGCTAAGAGCCTGTGTATAAGGTTGCTAGAGTACGACACAAGATACGCCCGATGAATTAGCGCGTAATCTAGGATAGGAGATTTAGTATAATCTTACTGTATAAGATCGCGAGAATCTATACGAAGGACTCTTAGAGAGTAGAAGTTATTTAGATACGGTAGATCGTGACTATGAAGGAAGGATTGGTACTATAGTTGGCGATTCTAATAGAATACTAAACGGATGAGTTTAGAGAACTGTTTGAGGAAAATAAGGTAATAGACCTAGTAGACTATTAGGATTAGAATCACGAGATCATTCTTAATAAGGGAGCTAAGTTGACCCTAGAACTAATGTACCCTATAGCGCCTGAGCACGATGCTGAGCTACGGGATTATATCTAAAAGAACTTAAAAAAGGGATTTATCTGACTAGGATTAGGCTTGATAGCCTTACCTATTTTATTCGTAAAGAAACTTAACGGGAAGTGGCGACTATGTATTGACTTTAGAAGGTTAAACAGCGTTACTTAGAAGAACTAATATCCTCTACTACTTATTATAGAGCTTATAGATTAACTCTAGAGAGCTAAGTAGTTTACGAAGTTTAATGTTTAGGAAGGATTTTACTAAATTAGAATTAAAGAAGATTACGAATGAATAATAGCGTTTAAAACGAAGTATAGACTCTTTAAGTATATGGTTATACCGTTTGGATTGACGAATGCGCCGGCAACCTTTTAATTAGTTATTAATAACGCACTCTACGAGTATCTTAGAATCTTTATTACCGCGTATCTAGATAATATACTAGTGTACTTTAGCAGCACACGCGAAGAATATATTAAGTATGTTAAGAAGGTCCTACGAAAGCTTAAAGAATATAAGCTATACTTTCAACTAGGAAAGTGTGAATTCTATATATAGGAAACGGAGTTTCTTAGATTTATTATATTAACTGAAGGAGTGAAAATGAACCTAAAGAAGATATAGACTGTATAGGAATGGCTAATATCTAAAATAGTTAAGGATATTTAGTCCTTTTTAGGATTCGCGAATTACTATTAGAAGTTTATTAGGGATTACTTAAAGATTATAGTACCTCTTATAGAAGTAATAAAGAAGGAAGTAGATTTTAAATAGGAATAGGAATATTAGAAGGCTTTTGATCGAATTAAGCAGATATTCCTAGAGGCACTAGTACTCGAGATGTACAGCCCTCAATAACCTACTAGAGTTAAGACTAACGCGTCTAACTATGTACTTAGAGCTGTGTTGTTATAATAGTGCGTAGATAGAAAATGGAGACTAGTGTTCTACTATTTACAGAAGTTCTTAGGAGTAGAACTTAATTATGATGTTTATAATAAGGAACTACTTAGAGTAGTTAATGCCTTTAAATAATAGGAAGTGTACCTACTAGGACTCTCTGAATAGATTGAGGTTTTTACTGATTACTAGAACTTGATGAGTTTTATAATAACGAAAAAACTTAACTAATGATAAGTATAATAGGTAGAGATGCTAGCCTAGTTTAACTTTAAGATTACGCACCGCGTAGGGACGCTTAACGGAGCAGCGGATGCTTTAAGTAGAAGGTCTGATTTACGCGAAGAGGGTTATAAAGAACTATATAACGCCTTACTTAAGACGATGCCTGATAGTAGTCTGAAGTATAACCAGCCGGAACTAGCTAAGGTAGCTAAGGTGGCTAAGTAGGTAGAAATACTATAGAAATAATAGCAGGAAAAAGCAACGTTATGGGCGTTAGAAACGGACCTCTACCCGCTAGAAGTAATAAACGATAGAAAAGAGCTTAAAGCTCTAAGAGAATGTATAAGCACGTATATACCCCTATATATAAGAACTAAACTTATTAAGACCCTATACGAGTCCCTAGAATATAGACACGCAGGGGTGGATAAAATGGTTAGACGACTAGCTAAGGTATTTATAATACCACGCTTGCGAGCGAAGGTATAGGAAATACTAGGTAACTATTTAGCATGTTACTAGAATAAGCTTAAGAGATATAAGCCCTACGGCCTGTTATAACCCCTATAGCTACTATCTAGACTATAGATAAGCGTAATAATAGACTTTATAGTGAAGCTCCCGAGATCGTTAGAACTAGGATTAGCTTGATTTTATAATATAATCCTAGTAATCGTAGACTAACTAACTAAGGTAGCGAAATTTATGCCTATAGAAGAGACTATTACGGCAGATAAATGCGCGTATGAGGTTATAAAGGTACTAGTGTTAGAGTATAGGATACCTGAAGAGTTTATTACCAATCGTAATAAACTGTTTACGTCTAAATACTAGAGTACATTCCTAGTAAAGTTAGGTATTAAGAAGAAGCTTTTAATAAGCTTTCACCCGGAAATAGACGGCTAGACGGAACGAACGAACTAGATATTAGAATAGTATCTACGGATGTACGCTAATAAGTTATAGAATAACTAGGTAGAACTGCTACTAATAGCGTAATTAGCCTATAACAGTACGAAATTAGTAACGACGAAGTATTCGCCGTACTACGCGAACTACGGATATAAGCTAACTACTTACTAGGATCTAAAGGATATTGAAAGTATCGCGGTAGGAGTAGACGATAAAGCGAAGCTTATGCGAGAATTGTATAAAGAATTAAGTAAGAATATAGCTTAGTGAAATCTTACGATATTTAAGGCAGCGAATAAACTAAGGATTGAGGGACTAACCTTTAAGAAGAGGGACAAAGTTTTCTTATTAAGATAAAACCTGAAAACTAAACGACTATGTAGAAAATTAGATAACCTCTAAATAGGACTATTTGAAATTCTAGAGGAAATAGGAAAAGTAAACTATAAGTTAAAACTCCTATAAGGTATGCGAATCCACCCTATCTTTTATAAGAAACTCTTAGAACTAGCACCTCTAGATGCTAAGCTAGTAACGGATATAGAGCTTAAAGACGACGAGTATAAGGTCGAGAAAATTAAGGACCTGCAGAAAATTAGTAGTTAGTAGAAGTATTTAGTTAAGTAGTAAGGATGGCCTAAGAGCTATAATACTTAGGAACCTAAAGGAAATCTAACGAACTGCAAGTTACTAGTACGAGAATACTACTAGAAGCACCTGGAGAAGCGAGGGGCAGCCTCTTGAAGAGGAAGGAATAGTTAAAAGAAGGATTGTAGTAATCAGCCTGTAACTCGCCTAGATTAGCCGATGGTCTGGATAGTGATGGTTTGATAGTAGGAGGATTAGAACTAGGGGCTGAACTCCCCGCGACCTGCTCTTTTACGCGCTCTAACTCTTTTAGTACCGCTAGATCGCGATAAGTAAATGAGTGCTCTTGCTTCTTAGCCTCTAGAAGCTTAACCTTTCTTTGAGCTAATTGCGCCTCTAATTAGGTAATCTTAAGACGCTTCTGACGCTTTTCTCGCTGAACCTTCTCCTAATCTTTATTAGATATAAAAAGACTATACTCCGTCTTTACGGTAATACAACCTGCACACTGCCTAGACGCTATGTTAATAAAATAATGTAGACCTTTCTCCTTGTAATAATTATACTTAGTAACTATTTCTAAATAAGTACTCTCTACTTTCGAGGCACGATATTGGCGCTTCTTGGTTGAAGTGTACTTTTAAGATCGGCGAATAGACTAGACCTTAGGTATAGTTAGAAAGGCTATGAGGTAGAGACGGCTATAACGAGTGGACGGGCTCTAACCTTATATACAGCCGGCGTCTTAACACGCGGTATGGGAAAATAATAGTCTAGGGTATTAGGACGATAGCTCTAAGAGGGGAGGTAATGTTATAAGTAATAAGAAGGATTCTCTCTTTAATAAATAACGAGATGGCTGAAGGCCTATGGACGTCTACGTTAGAAGGTAATAATTATCGCGGGGCTAGGTCACGTGATGTGCTATCTCGCCAAGGGTAACTATTTGAGGGATAGTAGGACGCCTTAGGATGGCAGCCATCCCTAACATTACAACTATCCTAGGGATGGTAGGGAAGTAAGGGATAGCAGGACTAAAGGTAACGGATATAAGAATGGGTTGGATTTTATTATTACATTCGTTGTAGTTAACTCAAATTATACTTTCTTACTAGTATCTTTACTTAATAAGATTGTTATAAGTTAGTCTATTAAATAGATTAGTCTTGTTAAACCCTTCTTAAGCACGCTAACTCCACTGCATCGCTAGATAAGCCTCACGGAATACTAACGTAATACTCACCTGCCTTAGTGCGGACTAGAATAGAGAAGTATAGACCCTTACCCTGTGTAACAGCGAGGTGCGAAAGCTACGAGGAAATAGTACGTAATTTTAAGTTACTTTGAATCCAAAACGTTGTAGCTATGGCTCATCTTATAGTTACAAAACTCTAATTGTACTTAGTTTATTTATTAATTATTCTAATTTATAATAATTAACTTATATATAATTTACAACGTCGCAGGAAGAATATAAATAGTAACTAGTTATTTGTGATATCTAAAAGCGGATGTTCTATTTTTAGTTAGTAGTTTTGTAGATATAAGCTACTTAGTCAATCTTAATTAAGAAACTAGATGATGTTAAATGATCTATGATCTATAATCTATAATATATTAAATTAGTGTTATATGGGGTTAGGATCTATACTTCTCTTACTGGGTTCTATACTAAGGCTTATAACGATGTTACAACTTCGCTATATATTAGACTAATTCTAGAGCTAAATCAAAGGTAGTATTCGCCGCTCTCTTTATCAACCACTCGTTATAAGGTCAGATCCAATTTAGATCTAGTTAAGATTAGTATATAAGGATACACTCTCTATAGCTAGCTCTATAAACTTTTAATATCCTTTCGTATAAAGCCTATAGGTATCTATTTAAATTAAGACTTATTTAATGTCCTACGCACTTCTATATGCCTCTAAGTAATACTACTACTAATACAAATCTAAGTAGTCTTACCTACGCCGTTATATTATATTAAAAGTCTTATTCTAGCTAGTAACAGCTTTAAAATAATATCGTAGCTATTTATTAAAGACAACGTTAATCTAATAAGATCTAGAGATGATCTAGACTTCTACTATTACGTCCTATATTTACCTAAGCAGGATTCTATTAATCTCCTACTAGCTAAAGCCTTTAGGTTTAGAACTTCTATACTTCTCGTAAGGCAGATTACTTTAGTAAAAGTTACGTAGAGTACGCTATAATAGAGACTTAAAGACTACTAATAACCTATTAACTTTAGAGGTAATTACTAATAGTTAACCTACTAAAATCTAGTAGTTCTAAGAAACTACCTTAGAAATTAGTCTAATTATAGGACTAAACTATCTTAGAGAAGAAAGCTAGTAAGCTACTAACTTAGAAATCTCTAGAGACTTTACTACTATAAGAGCGAGATAAAGATAAAGATAAAGATAAGAAGAATTTAATACTAGTAATAACTATAAGAGACCTCTATAGGTAGATAGCTAGCTTAGTTAACTAAGTCTACTAACTAACCTAAGAAAACGCTAAGCTGCGAAGTAACGTAGTTCTTACTACTAAATCTCTATTAATATTAGCTAAACTATCTTCTCGCTAATTACTAAGATATACGTCTACTACCCCTAAGCCTCTACGTATTAAACTAAGCCGTCTTATCTTATTCTCTATTAGCTAATTAAGTAATAGGAAAGATCTTACCTTTCTCTAGTAGTAAGTAGAAGTAGAGGATTAACTTAACCTAAACTTAGACTACTTCCCTATAGAACGCTACTAGATAGCTATAGTATATAGCTACACGTTAGGTAATACTAAGAGATACCTTAAACCTAAGTACCTATTAAAGATAGAAGGGTACTAGTTTAAGAATGCGGAGAAATGTTAAGAGTATAGCTTAAGTAGAAGTAATATTAGACTTCTAGTATTAAGCTTCTTATTAGTTAGTTTTTATAGATAGAGAGATAGTATGCGCTAGATAGTAACTTAGGTAAGTATAATATTATATTATACTTATACTTATAACTTAAGTTAAATATATTAAGCTATAAGGGCTTAGTGCCTAATACTATATACTTGCGTAGTCCTAGTGTCTTAGTAGTCCTAGTAGTAGCGAGGGGCTGTAGGACTACAGGGATCAGTAGAACTAGTTACGTAGTCCTAGTAAGTCCTAGTATATAAAGTATACTAAGACTAAGTAGAATCTGTAGAACTTATTACGTAATTCCTTTTCTTACTATATTCCCGCTATCCCGTAGATTACTCGTTAAATAAACGTAACAGTAAAATGTTCTCTATATTCTAAGGCTAGTCGTAATACTATTCTTCTCTTCTTATAACTCGTTCTTAAGATAATATACGGTCTAGAATTTTTAGAAGAGATATATTACTATAATTTCGTAGTTACTATAGATAGAGTGTTTATAGAAGTAATTTATTACTAGGAAAGATAGTTTATTATAAACAGGGGGTTACTATTAACGTAGCGTTTATATAAGCGCCGTATTTCTAGAAGCATAGAGTTTTTATAAGCGTTCTGTTCCTAGGAATTCTAGGTTTCTAGAAGCGCTTAGTTTCTAGAAATACTTAAGGATAGGTACTTCCGTCCGTAATAGGCTTAGTCTAATAAGCACCGCGTTCTAAGGGTGTAGTGCTTATTACGCTAACCTAATTAGGTTTTAGCGTAGAAGCGCGCTATAACTAGGCTTACCCCGCGTTATCTAGATGCGTATCGTATTCCTAATAAGTTCTCTTCTACTTTCTCATTCCGCTTAGTTTTGTTATTATCTTACTAACTATATTAAGTCTACTAGAGTTCTTATAATAGTTTCTTATTCTTGTTATATAAGGAAGCGGTTGCCTTATAAAATATCTTCTCTTAACTAAAAGTATACGAATTATATTCGTGCGAACTATACAAGTTATAAACTAGAGAATTAACTATTACCTGATTTTTTAAAAATTAATAAGAAAATGTCTTGTCTAGAGTAGTTAGAAGATAAGGAGGAGGCTCGTCTTCGCGTGGAGAAGAATATAGCTAAGGCGGCTTTATTATATACGCGGTAAGCGTAAGAGAAGCTATTACGGCTTTAAAAATAAAAGAAGTTATTACGTTAGAAGAAGTAGAAGATATTTAATTAGAGGCTAGCTACAGTAGAGGAGTTAGAGACTCTTAAGAAATTAGAGAAGTTTAACTCTAAGGTTACGTTAGTAAACTCAGAGGCTCCTTTAAGCGCAGCTACTATAGATTAGTCCTTTTTATAGGATGTTAGTAATACTATACTAGGCGCTAGCGGTAGTTTATAAGATTCGTTTCTTATTCCTATATATTCTCGCTATCTAGGTATTCTAATTATTTAACTAGGTATTTAGTTTTATTATTTTTAGTTTGGTGTGCGATAATTTTTTTAACTTTAAATTCGTCCTCTTCTTTAGGTTTATAATACAATGTTTTTTATAGTAGTATTTTAGAGTCTACTAGTTCTAATAGTTATATATAGAATCTTAGATATATCTTCGCGTTAGCTAGTAGGTTAAGTATATAGGTTATAGGTCCGATTTATTTTAAAATTAAAAATAGTCTAACCTTAATGTGTTAGAGATATAAGCTAATCAGCTAATCTCTGACATAATCCGGGTGCTCGGCACTATACTCGGATTCTTCAGTCAACCAATCCCTATACAATTCATCTATCTATTACGTCTATAGCTACGTAATCTACTACTAGATAGATTCTTCTAGAATCTAGTACAGCAAATATATATAGTAGTAGAATAGCTAGTAGATAGAAACCAGAGCAGATTACAAGAACAGATCAGACTACTAGATCAGATCAATCCAATCCTTATCTCTCTCCCCTAGCATTTCTCTCTTTTCATCCTAGAACCTATCGATTCGCTACCTCTGAGTCTATCGCTAGACAAGTAGACTACTATACCTCTGAGCTAGCTATAGAACAAGTAGCACCCTCCTTATTTCAACATAATGTAGTCTAGTCCTTTACTTAGTTATTTAGTGCGAAGGTTCTTTATAAGTAGATATACTTTATCCCCCTTCTTTAGCTAAGATACTATTTTTCTTTTCTTATTTTAGTAGGAAATGCTTTAGCGTTAAGCCTATTTAAGTAATGTTTATAGTTTTTTATATATTTTCTTTAGTTATTCTACTATCATAGTTACTGCTTCTATTTTTAGACTTAGATATATTCTAGTAAAGAGATTTAGATATCTTCTGTAGTTAGCGAAAAATAGTATTTTACTTATTACTTCTAATATTTTATTATTATATACTATGTACTATAGATAGTAGCTATACCTTATTATTTTATTAATAGTTAGTATAGATTCTAAGGTAGGTCTTTATTATCTCATTTATTTATTCCGTTTATCTATCAGTTTATAGGTAGTAGACTGTTAATAGTTTTCTCTTAGTTCTAATTACTATAAGTAGCGTTATCTAAAAGTTAGATATAAATAGCTTATCTCTATTACTAATAATAGATATTAGTATTTTATAGTATTAGATAATTTAGTTATAGATAATATATGCTAGGTCTACTACTATATAGTTGTTCCTAAATAGAATATACTCTACTTATTTCGTAAAACAATCTACTATAATAAGTATCGCGTTATAGGTAACCTTAGTTATTAGGTCTCTTAAAGCTAGTAATCCTATAACGAAGTCTATAGAAATATCTATCTATAGTTCTTATAGTAGTTCTAAGACTTATATTTCTCTATATAGTATATATAACGTATATAGTAAGCGAGCGGCGCAGGTAAGCGAGCGGCGCACTCTATTAAACTTGCGCACCTCCTTAAACTAAATATCTAATTACTTAATACTACTACACTTAAATGGCTTCAGACAAATTAGATATTCAACTTACTATCTAATCTCTTAAAAATAAACAGATCTAAGAGAATTACCGTACTACTGCAGTCTATAATATAGCCGAAACAACGCTCTACCGCTAACGCGCTAGTAAGCCTACCTAACGCGATTACCAGCTTAACTTAAAGAAGCTAACTAAGCTAGAAGAGGAGGTAATAGTTAGTTATATACTTAATTTTAATTTACGTAGATTTACGCTTATATACGCTGCTATACGCGATATAGCTAATAAGCTACTAGCTACGCGCGGCGCTAGCTAGGTTAGGTAGAAGTAGCTAGATAACTTTATTAAGCGTATAGACAGTCTTATAACGCGTTTTAATTAGGCGTATAATAGGTAGAGAGCTCTATATAAAGATCTAGTCTTAATTAAAAGCTAGTTTAAGCTTATAGAGTAGACGAAGGCTAAGTATAGTATCTATAATAAGAACGTCTACAACTTTAACGAAGCTAGCTTTTTAATAGGTAAGATTACTACTTAGCTTATCGTTATAGCATTAGAGAGAAGAGGCTGGCTAAAGGCTATCTAGCTAGACGGCTAAGAGTAGATAATATTTATCGCTGGGATTAATGCAGCTAGCTAGTCTATCCTACCATTTCTTATCTTTACTAGTAAGTATCACCTATCTACCTAGTATAAGAAGGTAGAGATCCTACGCGACTAGGCGATCGCAGTTAGCGATAATAGCTAGACGACTAATAAGCTAGAAGTTAAGTAGCTAAAGCACTTTATTAAGCATACAGATAGCAAAGTTATTAGAGCACGCTAGCTGCTTATCCTTAACAGCTATAAGAGCTACTAGTTACTTAAGTTCTAAGAGCTCTATAAGAAGAACAATATCTATACACTCTATATACTACTATACTTATCTTATCTACTCTAGCCTCTTAATATTAGCTACTTCTCGCCGTTAAAGCGCGCGTATAGTCGTAAGATAGAGAGCTTAATACGTAACTATATTAACTATATTACTAAGCTTAAGTTTCTATTAACGTGCGGGATCAGTAAGCTGGGCAGATCAGTAAGCTGGGCACCCCACCAAACTTCACCCAACGCTCTACACAACCACTACAATGCCGCGACAACAACGTTCTATACAGACTTCTCGTGAAGGCAGAATAAGCCTTGCTATCGCATCTTATCGTAATAATCCAAAACAATCTATTCGTGCTCTCGCAAAAGCCTTTGATATACCACAATCTACACTACACACGCGTATCCATGGTGTCCAGCCACGATCAGAGACAGCCTCTGTCAACCGCAAGCTATCGCCCATTGAAGAGCAGTCTCTCGTGCAGTGGATCCTAGACCTTAACCGACGCGGTTTTCCGCCTCATATCATTGACGTGCGACGGATGGCAGACGCTCTACTCGCCGCGCGTGGCCAAAATCCACCTCCAGCACCTATTGGCAAGAAGTGGGTGTCGCGCTTTATCCAGAACCAGCCAGAGCTCCAGACAAAGTGGACTAGA